TTTCTTCTATCTGAACTCTGTCTCTTTAACCCTGGTTTGAATTAAATGGCTTAAATACAGGGTTATCCACAAAAGATGAGACTTTAGAGAAGACTTACAGAATTTAGAGACGACTGTACAGAATTTATTCTGTCTGTTCACTTATTTTCATGATTCCCTGCAACTGTAAACTTGTTATTTTCTTTGCAAAATCTTTAAATAAGCAACTAAGAGACTATATTCAAGACAGCTGACTTAGTTTAACCTTGGAATCGTCATATTTTAAGGGTTTTATGTCGCTGTTGAAGTCTCGTTCTTTGTGGATAACCCTGTATGTAAAAGTCTAACTGTTGTGACAAATAAAACAGTTCAACTTTGAAACCAATAATTGTTCTTTTCTTAAACCACATTGATGATTGTTAACGATATCTCTAGTATCCCTCTGTACCCTTGGGAGGTGGGAGGGTGTCAATTTATCCCCCACCCCACCCCCTTCTTTCCATCCCTTCTTTTCCACTCTAGCCCTCCCCTCCCTTATACATGATTGTAATTGGATAATTATATTTATATTGTTTACTAGTCTGGTTCATAACATGAGCATCTCAGATCTTAGATATTGGCATCTCAGTATCTCAGTATCTCAGTATCTCATTATCTCAGTATTTCAGTATCTCAGTATCTCAGTATCTCAGTATCTCAGTATCTCAGTATCTCAGTATTTCAGTCTCTCAGTATTTCGGTATATCAGTAGCTCAATATCTTGTATCTCATTATCTCTGTATTTCAGTATCTCAGTATCTCAGTATCTAAGTATCTCAGTATCTCAGTATCTTAGTATCTCAGTATCTCAGTATCTTAGTATCTCAGTATCTCAGTATCTTAGTATCTCAGTATCTCAGTATCTCAGTATCTCAGTTTCCTAATATCTCAGTATCTCAGCATAAAAGTGTCTCATTATCACAACGTTTTAGTATCCAAGTATCTCAGTATCTTATGATCTCTTCATAGCATCTTTCAGTATCTTATTGTCTCAGGCTCCAAATATCTCAGCATCTCAGTATCTCAGTATCTCAGTATCGTATTCCTAGTTTTCAGTCTGCCCTCGAACCCTTGCTGCAGTAGCTTAAAAGATATCCAGGGAAAAGGCGGAAGAACCCGGAAACAAATATCATGTTATTCTGAACACGTCGTGAGAGGATTGAGATGACGTAACATATTTATCTCCTGGAACTAGAGAACTGTTTAATCACTAATGTATGGAGATTTTATAAATACTATTTTGCGTTTTAATTACGAGGGTTATTTTTAAACTGTAAATATTTGTTTTTTAAAACTTTTTAGCGTAAAAATTCAGATGTCTCTGGCATTTTATTTTATGCAGAATTGCTGGTACGAATTTTCAACCTCCTAACTCCTTTCGTTTCCATGCTTCACCCAAAAAAGGAAAAAGGAATTAAGGATTTTATTCTTATTCTTAGCTCTTAGAGTATGGAGGAAATATGTTATGCCAAAATAAAATGAATTTAAGTTTAATACGCTATGCATGTTTTATTATTTTCTGTATCTATCCTTTATCTATTTACTCCTTTCCCTTTCAACCTTACTCCTTTATCTACATAATTCTTTCCCTTTAAACCTTGCTCCCCATTTATCTATATACTCCTTTCCCTTTCAACCTTACTCCCTTTAACTAAATACTCCTTTCTTCATCCTTTATCTTCATTCTCCTTTCCCTTTCAACCTTTCTTCATCCTTTATCTATATACTCCTTTTTCCTTTCAACCTTTCTTCATCCTTTATCTTCATTCTCCTTTCCCTGTCATCCTTTCTTCATCCTTTATCTATATACTCCTTTTACTTTCAACCTTTCTTCATCCTTTATCTTTATACTCCTTTTCCTTTCAACCTTTCTTCATCCTTTATCTATATACTCCTTTTCAATCTACATCCCCCTTTATTTGTATACTCATTTCCCTGTCATCCTTTCTCCATTCTTTATCTATATACTTCTTACCCTGTAGTAAACCTTCCTTTATCCTTTATCTAAATATTCCTTTTCCTTTCAACCTTTCTCCATCCTTTATCTATATACTCCTTTCCCTGTCAACCTTTTTCCCTCCTTTACCTATATACTCCCTTTCCCGTTCAACCTTTATCCCCCCTTTGTGTATATTCTAATTTTCTTCTCATCCTTTCTCCCTCCTTTCTTTCTTACAATCTCCTTTCACTCCACTCTCCTTTCTTCCCTTCAACGGATTATCCCAAATATATACTTATTGAACCATTTAAACTCCTTCTTTTCATATTAGGATTAGAGGCTTCCAATATTCTTCAAACCAGAACCAGGATACTCAGGACACTGACCATAGAAACCAAATTATTCTTCACGAGAAATCCAGGATACAACTAGGGAAACTAACCGAGGAGATAACCAACCCAGGATACTGATCAGAGTAAACCAGGATACTGATCAGAGAATACCAGGATACTGATCAGAGACTACCAGGATACTAAATAAAGAAATCAGAATACTGATCGAAGACTACAAGGATACTGACCAAAGAAAACCAAGGACTGAGATTCAACCAATGATAAGTCGGGAAATCTTCACATTTTAATATTTACGTCTCTAAATCTAAATTTCTAAAGTTTCAGTTTAAGCCTTACAATTATAATACTTAACTTTTTCTCATCCAAAAGTTCTCTGTTCTGAAGATATTTAATTGAAATAATAAAATTGTTCCCTAAACTCCATATTAGTAAAAAAGTATAATATAGGAAACAATCACTTAAAAATATAATTTTGATATATATTATGTAAATATAAATTATTATATTAAAGAATAAAATTACGTTAAATTATCACGGAGATGAATATATTATTATTTAGTAATGATGATTATGATGATTAATGATTATGAAAGTAATGATGATAATGGAAGTAACGATGATATTGAAATAAAGGATGGTTACAACATTAATGATGATTGATGATAATGAAAGGGATGATGCATATGAAAGCAGTGATGATAATGAAATTAATGATAATTATGGTAGTAATGATGATTATAACAGTAATGATGATCATGACAGTAAAATCATGGACACTGATTGTGAAAGTTATTATGAATCAATTATGGAAGTAATGATGATTCTGCATAATTAATGATGATCATGACACTAACGATGGTTATATACGTAATTATAGTATGGCAGTAATGAAATAAATGATGATCATTAAATAAAGGATGATCATTAAATAAACGATGATCATGAAATAAATTATGATCATAAAATAAATTATGATCACGAAATAAATGATGATCATGAAATAATGATAATCATGAAATTGATAATGATGATAATTAATAAGATTACTTACTGTGTGAGCCTGTATCCTCTCCGGAGGTAGAGAGAGGGACTGAGAGAATCTGAACCTGTGAGGCCGCTAGGGCCTCTATACCTCTCCTATTGGAAAGGTTCTCCTGGAGCTTGAATATTATTGGTTCTAGTTGACGGAGCGGAGAGAACTCCAATCTTGAAGAGATACCTGTCTAATATCCGTCTACCCGGAGCAGAGCAACTCATCCAACCTTGTCGGAGAGGAATTTCTTTGACAGGTTTTATTAAATTGTTTACAAAGGTTTAATTGTCCTATTGTTTATCCTGCTCGGAGAAGGTTGGTTCTAATCTTCTTTTTATTAGATTAGGATGGAATTATATTGATGAGAAACAGATCTCTCCCAGAGATAAACAGGTTGCTTTCACCTTGTCATCTAACCTACACTAAATAAAGATAAAAATCCATACACGTTTCTGTTTTTTCTCTGCTCTTTTTTTGATGCAACATAATCTTTTTTTTTATAGATATGTGCATGTAATAATAGAATTGTGAATAAAAATTTTTTAAGTATTTAAGTCTTTAAGTATTAAGTAATATATTAAGATTTTTTGCCTAAATTTTCTGGTGCTTTTTCTTTGCAACCTGATGGTGTAAAGCTTCGATATTTCAAACTATTTCATCTAACAGAATTCATAATCTGAACTGTCTAAGGTCTATTCGATATCAGGTTGCAAAGATATCAGGATTAAGTTTAGAGTGTGTGGCAAAAACTCAGTTCCTTTGGTCACAAGAATTAAAGAACGTATTGTCCAATACTCCAATTTTAAATCCTACCCGGAGCTAGCATTGCCATGAGTCTGGATATGAAATACCCAGAGCTAGGATTGCCATGAGTCTGGATATGAAATACCCAGAGCTAGGATTGCCATGAGTCTGGATATGAAATACCCCTACTCGAAGCTAGGTTAGCCACAAGGCTGTATCTGAAATACCCCTACCCGGAGCTAGGATTGCCATGAGGCTGGATCTGAAATACCCCTACACCCGGAGCTAGGATTGCCATATGAGTCTGGTTCTGAAATACCCTACCCGGAGCTAGGATTGCCATGAGACTGTATCTGAAATACCCCTACTCGAAGTTAGGATAGCCATAAGGCTGTATCTGAAATACCCCTACCCGGAGCTAGGATTGCCATGAGGCTGTATCTGAAATACCCATACCCAGAGCTAGGATTGCCATGAGGCTGTATCTGAAATACCCCTACACGGAGCTAGGATTGCCATGAGGCTGGATCTGACCTCGGTCCAACCAGGGGGACGGATTACCATGAGTTCAGGTTTAATTCTCCAATAAGGGAAGGTTTCAAGCTCCGGCGGAGGTTGAAGGGGAGGTTTTCATGGTACTGAGCACACCTGGTTCCGTGAAATTCAAAATAGTTTTCCGCTCCAAAATATTCCAAACCTGAACCAACAAAAACTTTGCCACTAACTAATCCCTTTATCTTTGCAACACAAAGCTATTTTAAGCTATGAATTCTGTTAGACCAAATAATCTAAGTTTAAAATATCTAACGTTTAAAACATCAGGTTGCAAAGATTTAGGGATTATGAAATTTGAATTTGTGGCAAAGACGCAACTCCTTTATTTTTCCAACCCTGTTCATTCGAAAAAGAAAAATATGTTTATAAATTTTATTTCAATATAATATCTCGGTATAAATATTCTTTAGTCGTTCATAATTCATTGATTCGTGTACAGCATGATACGCATTGGAAAAGATTTATCACACAAAACCAAGAAAGTTTTTTGTTGACTCCTTTCGAGACGGCAGGAGGGGGGGGGGGATTGTTCCCTAGTGTTAGTGTGGAGTAAAGCAGGTTAAAATAATCATTCTCTCATATTCTTCGTTTCATTGTCTAGGCAACCTGTCTTCTGCTTGATTCCTCGACAATAGTTCTCTTGATCTTCTTGGTCGCCATAGCTTCCGATTCAGCCTCCGAGATTGCCTGCTTGGCCATCTGGGCGGCGGACTTGGTGTAGGAGGATCTATACTTCATGGCGGAGGCAGTAATCGCCTCTAGCTCTCGTTCTAGTCTGTCAATCTTTACACGGCCCTGAGCCATGGCGGATCTTGCTTCTCCGATCTCCTTCCCTTCAAAAGGGGCCATATGGATATCTGCAAGCTGAAAATAAATTACACTTTAACAAATTCATGAAGATTTTAAGGATTTTCCTTTCGACGCCATTATTTCTACATAAGTCAGAACTTTTTTAAAGGGACTCAAGCATTAATCTCCTTTTTATGAAGACTTACGTATTAATTTAATTCCTCTTCAATATCCAGTGGTAATCGTATCCTGCATGGTTAACTTTATTTGAGAGACTATGCATTGATTCTCAAATTTAAAGGTGCCCACATTGGATATCTAGATCAAGCGATTAGGATTAACAACGACCTCAGGCAACCTATTTTTTAAAAATAAAAAAGAGGCTTTTCAATCTGATCAATAATGAAGAAGATATTGTTTAGTATTTCGATGTTTGAAAGTGTTTATTTCTGATAATTTCTTTATGTTTTCCAGCAGTAGAATTGCGCAAGTCATTTTGTATAGAGAGTCGACAATTAAAAAAAATCAGTTTTCAAAATGATACTCATAGATATCTTATTCATACTTGATCCGTCAAAGCTTTTAATTGCACTGTTGTGAATCGGGCAATCTTTTTACATGGAGGTTCACTTAGAATTATGCTCACAGTCCCTTTTAGTGGGATCAATGCTCTGAAGCAGATGCACTATGGGGTACGTACAAAAGGGCTAAAAACATACAGAGAAAAGTAAAATAAACACTAATTGTTTTCATTTTAAAAATGATAATAATGCATCCATCAATCTACTTTGATAAAATAAAATTTTTCACATATTTCTGATATATAAGGACAGCAAAAAAGTTTAAAAAATAATGAGAGACATATTGGCTTGATTTAATATAAAAAAATTAAGTAAAGTAAGGTGGCATATATTTACAGTACAAACGTCGGACCCACAAATATCGGACGTTAGGTCGGACAGTACAAACGTCGGAGACAAACGTCGGACCAGTACAAACGTCGGAAACAAACTTCGTACTAGTACAAACGTCGGACTAGTACAAACGTCGGACTAGTACAAACGTCGGACCAGTACAAACGTCAGACAGGTACACTTATAAGGGAACACGTCGTACTTTGGTTGAGTTTAAAAAAAGACCATTGCTATAAGAAATAAATTAAAAATCACTTACTTATTCTGAGCAGGGAACTTTAGAATGGTGGATATCAGGACTAATGCTTAATCCTCTCTTTTTGCTAATCTCGAGACTAACATAATCTCGAGATCATGTTAGTCTCCAGATTAATTATTTAGCTCAACAAATTTGATTCAATAGAACGCCAGATTTGTTCGTTTTCTTGACTGGAAGGGCCTTCACTTAATTTCTCACACATTTATTAAACATTATACATTAGTTAAAATTATATTATACATTAGTTAAAATTAGTTAAAAAAAGAATCTCAAACGTAAATTAAACATTTTTCTTCATCGATTAATTTACAAAATGGCTGACAACAAATTCTTTATTAATTGTCAGAAATTGCGGAGGTCTCTCATTGGATAGAATTTGTTTTTCCAGCTCTGATAAAAAATCAAAGTCTCATCCTTTGAAGGTAGCACTGTATAAAACAACCAGAAAGGAGTTGAGTTCAATTGTCACAAACTCTGATGTTTCAATATATCTTTGCAACCCGATATCGTATAAACTTTAATATTTCAACCTATGAAATCTATAAGATCAAACAGTTTAAGTTTGAAAGTATCAAAGGTTAATATCATTACCAGGTTTCAAAGATTTAGGGATGAGAATATTTGATTTAGTGACAAGAACTCAGTAACTTTTGATAGATTTTTGTTAACCAGTGGGTAAAAGAAAATAACCTTAAAAAAAATCTTAAAATTCAAATAATTTTTTTCCTTAGTCCGACATTTGTACTGGTCTGACGCTTGTACCGTCCGACGTTTGCACTATTCCGACGTTTGTCCTGGTCCGACGTTTGTACCAGTCCGACGTTTGTACTAGTCCGAGATTTGTAAGTCTTAGGTTTTTACCGTCCGACGTTTGATACTGGTACCAGTTAATAACATCCCGATTGTTTTTAAGTTTTGACATTTCATTTAAAATGCATTTTAAGAATAAGATTTGAGGGTTTGTAAGTTTTCATGTTTTTATGTTTTCATGTTTTCATGTTTTTTTATGTTTTCATGTTTTTTTATGTTTTCATGTTTACCTTTTTCAAGATATCGTCGGAAGTATCCCTGGGAACATATGTGTGTCTAGGATCCCTTCCACTGGTCTCAGCATGAGCTTCAGCTCGACGCACTGCCCTAAAATTCAAAGACTTGAACTTTTTATATTTTCAAAAAGACAAAACTTATTGCTTTATAACTACAAAAACTCCGTTATCCAGATTAATCAAAAGCAACAATTTTTTTTTAGGATTTGAGTCTTTGCCACAAATGCTGGATGTCTAATCTCTATATCTTTGCAACCCAATGTCGTAGCACTTAGATATTTCAAGCTATGAATTCTGTCAGATCAAATAATCTTAGTTTAAAATATAAAAGGTTTACACCATCAGGTTGCAAAGATGAAAGGCTTATAAAATTTCAGTTTGTGGCAAAGACTCATTTCCTTTTCCGTCACAAACAAAATTGCCTCAAACTCAATTTTCGAGACCTAAAATCTTTGCAACCTGATGTCGCAGAGCTTTGATATCGATATATTTCAAACTACTGACTCTACTAACAGATCAGATTTTCTGCTAGTTTTAATTATCGAAGGTTTACACTTTCAGGTTGGAAAGATAAACGGGTGGACAAACTATGGAAGAATTCAGAACCTTTTAAAAATTATATCAAAAAAAAGATAAATAATTAAAACATTAACCTGCTCATGCTCTGCCTTCCTTCGGCGATACTCTGATCCATCTGAGATCTGAAGGAAACCTTCCTCTCCTCCACCTGCCTCCTCTGCATACTCGTCTTTTCCGTCGTCTCCTGTGTTGTAGTGGACCTTGAGACTGCTGACACTGATCTAGAAGCTGCAGCGGAGGAGCTTGAAGCTGCTGCTTCGCGACTGGAAGCAGCATAGGAAGCAGCGGCAGCACTTCTAGATGCTGAAGCGGCAGCAGAAGCAGCTCTTGCCTCGGATCTTCGAGCTTCCTCGGTCTCTCTATGAAGAGAGAGTTGTCTACCATAGAACCCTGTGTATCCTGTGAGTCCTGTTCCTGGAGCTGGAGCTAGACTAGTTGCTCTAGATCCTCTGTATCCCTCACTCCGATCTACAACAGCTTCAGATCTAGCTCTCAAAGACCTGAAAACAGTTTAGATTAGAATCCAGTTTTTAGTTCTAGAGTTTATGCAAACATTGATGTAGCAGATATTCACTTTTCCCCATCAATCTACATATTACAACTTGTTTTTAAACCCATACTTTCTTACGGTCACAATGACTGAGGAAATTTGAAATGCTATGTTTGTAGAACAAGATATAGGAAACATACAAATCTAATTTCTGGGATATTCAAGGTTTGATGAAGTTTCTGAAGGCCTTAAAAATAAAAGCTAATGAATTAGATCTATGAACATGAAACAAAGACTGAAACGTTTCTTGTTGAGTAGTGTATTTCTTGAGTTTGCTAAAATAAACAAACATGTCGGAAAGCTGGATCAAATTGTAATGAAATCTACTATAATGTAATATTCTTGTAATTTGTATAACTCAAATTCTGTATTATGAAAACAGAGCTGCTGAATGACCTTGTATATGTGTATACATTGAGCAGGCATGTTGTTGTATAATAGAACTCGGAATAGTTTCTCCCAGCTAAATGTCAACCCTGGAGATAGATTAGGATAGATAGGACGGATATCCTGGGACACCACAGAGTAACTACCCAAATTAACTCTTCTCCAGACATACTTTAAAATGTATTTTTTTCTCTCCGGTCTGTCTAGTTAGCACGAGGTTAAATAGGTAAAAAATAGGTCAACGTTAGAATATTTTTAGAGATCACTCTTTTTTTAGACTGTATACACAATACACATAGACAGGTTAAAGGAATTGACAACGTAACTTTAAAAGACCCTAACATTTTGGAGGACCGTAAATCAATTAGAATAAACCGTTAGAAAAAATAATCATTATTGAGAAATTGATGGGATATTAATAATAAGATTTACGTTTCCCTTAAGCTTGCTGATTTAGAATATTTTAGAAATATGAATGTCCAAATCTGAAATTTAAAACAATAAATAAATCTAGGATAAAATCAATGATAATAAGAGACTTTAAAACAAATGAGCTGCAGGAATTATTGAAAAGGGAGATGTTGTCAATTTGAGATGGGAGGTCAGCATGCAGTAGAAGTTTAACTATTCGTATCTGGTTCAACTAATGATCACAGTACTAACACTAATAACTGTGATCACAGTTAATTTCTTCACATGCCTCGGTTTAGTTATGCTGAATTATGTCGAAATGACCCATAAAAGTATCTTACGCTAGAAAAATTGCAAAATCCAAAAATTGGGGCGTAGAGCACCACAGATTCGTAGTTTTTGGCCTATTCAGTTTTTAGAGTATATGTTTTCACGTTGATAATAGACTGTAGATTAGGAAGGTGACATTAAGGCAATACCGAAGTGCATTTGATGTTGTCACGAAGTAAATAGCTTTGCTACGTAGTAAGTTATTAAATCACTATCTAAGTTAAGTGTGTCTGCTTACATTGCAGAATTGTTGTGCTCATGCTCATTGTAACTATTCAACAATTTAAAGTTATAACTTGAGTCTAAAAGTTGACTTCCTATTCCAGAGTTATCTGGTTATCACTGAAACAAGTACAATTATAGAAGACAAACAGACAAACAGACAGACAAGCCAAATTTATATATAGATGTACTTTTAATAGATAGATAGATAAATAGATCTGTAACTGTCCTTGGTGTAGATAGATAGATATGTAAATGGTGCTTATGTTTAGAAGATAAATATATATCTGTACCTGTACCTGTAGATAGATAAATCTGTACTTGGTACGGTTAGATTTTATGAAAAGATCTGTATTTGTACTTGCTATAGATATATAGATAAGTAGAAAGATAGATAAAAAAACCTTTACTTGTATTTGGTGTAGATAGATAGATATTTACCTGGATGTTTCTGATGAGGCTGAAGCGGAAGCTGAAGCACATGATGAGGATGAAGCTGAAGAAGTGTTAAAGGATGACAGCTCCCTGTTATAAGCATATATATGAGGAGTAGGACGAACCCACATCCAGCGTCTTGAAGGCATCTTGATACTGTGAGAGACTGAGGCTGGTCAGCAGGGCGGGGAGGGTCAGGTAGTACTGGTCAACTTTCTCAACATATTCAAACTCTTTCAACTATAAGCTGTTTGTACAGCTGTAAGTGTTACACACTTCTCAGTATTCAGCTGAGAATATGAGTCATTTAAATCAGATTTTATATCCTAGATTCCATCTCTTCCACTTTTTACCTTGAAACTTGCTCCACTTCTTATTCTATTTTTAATCTAAATTCTTAACACAAATTCCACGCTGACCCGTCTTTGCTAGTGCACTGACCTTAGTGCCAGACTGCAAGGTTAAATATTTCAGGGTTTAATGGGGTCATTAATTAGTGTATTGCAAGAGAAATCACTTGGCCTGATTTGTGACAACTTTATAACAACAAGAGATTTTTTCAAATGGACCGCGCTTTCAGTCAAATATCTTCGAAATCTATAAAAATTTAGCCTCACACCCTTATACGTTACAAACATCATATTATAAAATAACCAAAGTCAAATTTTGAATCGAGGGTCGTTCTTTTTTATGTTTCTTTAAAGAGAATTCTAAATAAACCATCCTTATAAACTCCCAAAACCGGTTTTGAACAGCTGGAACTGGCCGACATTCCCTGTTGAGGTGGTAAGTGACTGAATGGACGAAAAACATTTACCTATTCTGACGTTAGAACTATTCCTTTAAATCTACAGTTAACAACAGTTGCTGTACAGTTAAAAACAGTTGCTGTACAGTTAAAAACAGTTGCTGTACAAGTAAAAACAATTGCTGTACAGTTAAAATCAGTTGCTGTACAGTTAAGAACAGCTGCTGTACAGTTAAAAACAGTTGCTGTACAGTTAAAAACAGTTGCTCTACAGTTAAAAACAGTTGCTGAACAGTTTAAAAACAGTTGATGTACAGTTTTAAAAAATCATATCCAAGTCACTGATGATACCTCCCTCTTGTTATCTGCTTTACAGGAATTTACTTTAATGAGCTAAAAATGTGAGACTGAGACTTAGCTGGATGGAAGGAGGGGGGGGGGGGGAGCTGACTCATCAATGGATCGATTTCAGAACAAGAAATTATTTTATAAAATCTTATTTTTCGACATATTTTTCAAATATATTTCATTATTCATATGTATAAAAAGTAAAAAAAGTATAAAGTATACAAGAATAAAATCAATAACTAAAGATTACTAAATAACGTATGGATAAATATATATTTAACATTTGTAGAAAATTATTCAAAGTTTGGAAAAAAAAACAATAAAAATCTTGCATCTATATTTTGATAATAATAATATTAAGTTAAAGCTATGTAAACAGCTGATAGCTTAACAATATTTAAAAAAAATATAATGAAATGAAATTAATTAATTTTCTGGGCTTTATTAAAAGTGGTTTGTACTCAATGTGTATTCAAGAAGAAAGAAAATCCTTCGACCATTTTGATTACGCCATAAAAATATAGATAGATAAAAACAGATAATTCCAATTAATGGTATTTTTTGGTATTTAGGAAATATGTAATAAAGCAAATATTCAAAAAAAAATATTGTACCAAGGAGGTATACTGGAACCACCATCTCAGTATGAACAAGAGTTGCATTGTCGTTTCTGGAAAGAACACACTGAGCACAGATCTTTCCATCTGTACATTTTTTTACTAACATATGATGTGTTCGACTGTGTCCGACTCCGTCCTAAGTACAATGAAACACAACCCCTGTCGATAAAATAAAATAGAAATTATTGTAAAATTATATTATTTGCTGACACCTATACTAAGAGAGACTCAGACATCTAGCCAAACACTATAGAGTACGGACACATACAACGTACATCTTATATACACCCGTTAATTGGGTCAATCCGGGCTCTGGGTATGTTAAAATTTCTCCCAGAAGTTGCAGTACACTTTTTATGCAAATAAGGTTCCTGAGCCCAAAACCTAAGACAGGGTATCGTTCTGAAAACCAGTTTTGTAACCCGGGTTTCACAAATGGGTTTAACCAGTTTTGTGGATATCGATATTTTTGTTTTGAAATATTGTTTTATTTAGTTTCATCATATTTTACCACTTTTTCGAATCTCTTAAATAAAAATCTACACAAATAATAAGACCCCAAAAAGGAAACCCGGGAGTTTCGTTCAACGATACTCTTTTAAATTTCGGGCTTTGGTGTCTCTTCCTCAATGTGTACTGTACAGGTTTATAGCTGTGGAAGATTGAAAGGATTATCTTCTGGATTAATAATCTGTATCCGTCATGTTCTTATTCTTCTCATGCCGTCCTTCCACTGCTCCCTCCAATCCCTTGAAGAAATCCTCTGTAAAGGCTTTAAATACCTCCAGCCCTATCTTAGAGTACTCTTCCTGTAATCCGTCAATTTTAGCTTTCAGCTGATCATTCTCCTCCAGCAGACCTTCAAGTGTATCCGCTTGACCCAACCCGGCAACAGAGTCTGGACTGGAGGTGGTTGTCGGAGCTGGAGTGGTCAGCACACAGCTGGGTGGAGTCCATTCTGTTGTTGTCTCTGCTCCGGTCAACCCGTAAACTCGCAAAATATGCCTGAATAATGCCACATTAGTAAATTCTAGCCAAGCACAAACAAGTATGGAAAAAACATTAATTTTATATTATCTTAATGACACTATTTGTCATAATGAATGACACGTCGTCGAGCACTTTCTGCACTGTAATAATTACTGTAACTAAATGTACTGTACTGTAGCCTCTCATGTACTGTACTGCACTGTTTTCTTGATACGTACCTGAATTCTTGATCACACGGTACTGTGTCACTATGAATATCAACTTGAATAACTGAAGTGAACGGTCTAACAGGAGCAGAATTAACATTGATGATAAAAATTTCAAGTTAAATTAAAATTTGACTTAATTCTTAAAAACTCGAATTGGCAAATATTTTAAAAGATATCTTTCAACTTTGCACTTAGGTTATTTTCGGTGAGAATGTAGAAAATGTTGCAAAAAAACGTTGAGGAATTTAGGACTGAAATTCTAACAAGTCAGATTATAAAAGCTGAGATAACACACTGCTCCTTCCTGTTAATCGTTTTAGAGAAGGTGCTCTCGTTGTAGGTGATATCATAGTAGTCCAGGATAAAGTAGTCCAAACAGGTCGGATAATCAATCTGCTGTATCCTCCAGCTAACCCGGAGCATAACAGGTTCCTTGACCTCCTCCTCCTCTCCGTCCTCCTCTTGGTCGTTTTGTCGACCTCGTTGAGGATACGGAGATCTTTGTCCTCTTCGTCCTCCTCGTTTGTCAGATCTGATCTTCAACTCCTTCACTGAAGGAAGTGATGTAAACCTAAAAACGTTTTAATCAAAAAAATCTTTGACTTATGATTTATGATCTATGACTTATGATCTTTGATCTATGATCAATGATCCATGATCCATGATCCATGATCCATGATCCATGATCCAAGATCCATGATCCATGATCCATGATCCAGGATCAATGATCTATGATCCATGATCTATGATCTATGATCTATGATCTATGAATGATCTATGATCTGTGATCTTTGATCTATGATCTATGATCTATGATCTATGATCTATGATCTATGATCCATGATCCATGCTCCATGATCCATGATCCATGATCCATGATCCATGATCAATGATCCATGATCTATGATCTATGATCTATGATCTATGATCTATGATCTATGATCTATGAGCTATGATCTATTATCTATGATCTATGATCTATAATCTATGATCTATGATCTATGATCTATGATCTATGATCTATGATCTATGATCTATGATCTATGATCTATGATCTATGATCTATGATCTATGATCTATGATCCATGATCTATGATCCATGATCTATGATTTATTTATGAACTATGATCCATGATCTTTAATCTATGATATTGATCCATGATCTTCTATGATGTATGATCTGTATTACCTAGGTGTATAATCTAACTTGTAAGAAACAAGACCGGAGAAAGCCTTGAAATCATCCCGTCTACCTTGATAATCCTCTGAAGCTGCAATCTGGAAAATATTCAACATTTATCACTTTAAGTCCCTTACATCATTATTTCAGACTCTTTTGACAATGTTCGACTTAAAAAAATCTTTAAAAAATTTAATATCGAACAGGATGAAAAAATAGCAGAGTTGGTGCAGGTTATTTGCCATTACTTGAGAGTTGTTCATTAAAGTATTTGTATATGAGCTGTAACGAAACATTTGGACCAAGAGTTATGTCACTTTTTACTGTTACTTTTTACAGGAAAATTTAGAAATTTTATTTAAGACCTATTTGACTTCGAAAACATTCTGAGTTTTCGAGAAAAAAATTAGTTTAATCTTATCAACTTTAGCACAACACAATTCATTAATGAGTGCGGGTCAAATAAATTAAACATTTTACCCCAGAATATTGGGGAAATATGTATAATACAATTTTGGTAGAATCATTATTTGTTTGTGTTCAAAAAAACCATAATTCAAGCATCCTAGATCTATATATTTGTCTTGTCTGATGTTTATAAAAAATTTCAGCAAGAAGTACACAGTAGATTACCTTAAAAGTGTATTCAGTGCAGGGTTCAACATCAATATCAAATGATCTTCTAAACCTATCTATTCTAGCTGTATGAAGAACTGTAGTGGCAGGGTTTAATTTCTGGAAGTATTCAACCTACAATCCATATTACTTGACATAATTATTAATTATTAATATTTAAAAATGCGCTCCTAATTTATGCGCTAATTTAACTATTCGGTTCTTGTCCATCTTAGCTATAACTTTCAATTTCACCCAATTAAACAAACAGAAAATTAGCATTTCTCTTTTTTACTTCTATGTTGGTGGATGCGTTTTAAGAACAAAGTTTTCATTTTAAAGTTTTAAGATTGTTGAATTATATTTATAGACCACTAGCTGTAGGGTCCGTCGGCGTTGCAAGTGGAAAAAATAATTTAAATTTTTTTTTAGCCGATGTTACCACTAGGCTACCCATGGGTTCCTTCCTTCAAACAAAATTTCAGCCCATTCGGTCCAGCCGTTTTGGCGGCTATAGGGAACATATATATATGAATGTCTTGTTTTATCATATAGATAACGGGATTGAATTCTAATTAAAGAGACTGAATGAACCGATCGCCATGTCTTGGTCAATAGTCAGTTGTTTTTGATTTTGTTTATAAAATTTTGTAGAAAATTTGTACTTTGTAAATGTCAAATTCATATAATTCTGATGATGTCAAGGGAATAATTTTAGAAATAAATCATTTAAAAACTACAAATTCCTCACCGACATTTCATAATTAAAAGAACTGATAAAGACTATAATCTTTCCTTTGTTTTTTTTTATTACAAAGGAACAGTCCTTTTTATTAATAATAGTGAATAGTTCAATTGATTTCTGAAGAAAAGTCCATTTTATTCCTAGAAAATAGTCCATTTTATTCCTAGAAAATAGTCCATTTTATTCCTAGACAAGATATTCCATATTATTCCTAGAAAATAGTCCATTTTATTCCTAGACAAGATATTCCATATTATTTCTATAGAAAATATTCCATTTTTCTTTATGGATAATAGCAAGTTTAATTTATGGATAATAGCACGTTTTACTTATGGATAATACCAAGTTTAATTTATGGATAATAGCACGTTTTAATTATGAATAATAGCACGTTTTATTTATGGATAATAGCACGTTTTATTTATGGATAATACCGAGTTTAATTTATGGATAATAGCACGTTTTAATTATGGATAATACCAAGTTTTATTTATGTTAACTGCACGTTTATTTATAGATAACAGCACGTTTTATTTATGGATAATAGCAAGTTTTATTTATGGATAATACAAGTTTTATTTATGGTAACAGCACGTTTTATTCATGGATAATAGCAAGTTTTATTTATGGATAATAGCACGTTTTATTTATGGATATAGCACGTTTTATTTATGGATTATACCAAGTTTTATTTATGGTAACAGCACGTTTTATTTATGGATAACAGCACGTTTTATTTATGGATCATACCAAGTTTAATTTATGGATAATAGCACTTTTTATTTATGGATAATAGCAAGCTTAATTTATGGATAATAGCACGTTTTATTTATGGATAATACCAAGTTTAATCTATGTTTAAAAGCACGGTTTACTTATGGAGAATAGACCATTTTATTCAGAGTGAACTGCCCAATATATTTATACAGAATTGCCATATTTCTCAGACAACAATATTTTTTTTAACTTTATTGAATTTTTCATGATACATTTATGATAAACATATATTCACAAAGATTCATAAATCAATCATATTTCCTTTATGATAACAAAATCCCTGATTTTTAAATATTGAATGATGTCAACTGTATTCCTGAAAGTAGTCTACACACTTGAAATTATGCAGTTGACCCCAGTGAACCCTAACCTAGAAAAATATGTAAAAAAATGTTAAGCGAATTTGACCTTATATTCAATTATTTTAGCAAGTTTCAAATTATTATTTTAATCATCAAAATAGTCATTTTCAATAACTTTCATAATAATTGTTATTATTATTATTATCAATATAATACACACTATTATCATTAATAAATTGATATCTACTTCTGTCCAATCCTGACCTTATTTGAGAGCATGTTCCCCATATCATCGTAGAGGGACTCCACGCTTGGCAGGGACAAGAAGTAGAACGGACTTTGGTCATAGCAGACACCAGACACCTGGATACAGATAGTATTAGACACCATACACCAGACACCTGGATATAGAACAGATAGTATTAAACACCAGACACCTGGATACAGATAGTATTAGACACCAGACACCAGACACCTGGATACAGATAGTATTAGACACCAGACACCAAACACCTGGATACAGATAGTATTAGACACCAGACACCAGACACCTGTATACAGATAGTATTAGACACCAGACACCAAACACCTGGATACAGATAGTATTAGAGAAAATACACAAGACACCTGGATACAGATAGTATTATACACCAGACACCTGGATACAAATAGTATTAGACACCAGACACCTGGATACAGATAGTAAAAAACACCAGACACCAGACACCTGGATACAGATAGTATTAGACACCAGACATCTGGACAACGATAGTATTAGAGACCAGACACCTGGATAGAGATAGTATTAGACACCAGTCACCTGGATACAGATAGTATTATACACCAGACACCAGATACCTGGATATAGATAGTATTAGACACCAGACACCAGGATACAGATATTATTAGTCACCAGACACCAGACACCTTGATAAAGGTAGTATTAGACACCAGACACCTGGATACAGAGAGTATTAGTCACCAGCCACCTGAGTAGAGATAGTATTAGACACCAGACACCTGTATACAGATAGTATTAGACACCAGACACCATGATACAGATATTATTAGACACCAGACACCCTGATAAAGGTAGTATTAGACACCAGACACCTGGATACAGATAGTATTAGACACCAGACACATGGTTACAGATAGTATTAGACACCAGACACATGGTTATAGATAGTATTAGACACCAGACACCTGGATACAGATAGTATTAGAAACCAGACAAATGGATACAGATAGTATTAGACACCAGACACGTGTATACAGATAGTATTAGACACCAGACACCTGTATACAGATAGTATTAGACACCAGACACGTGGTTATAGATAGTATTAGACACCAGACACCTGTATATAGATAGTATTAGACACCATACACCAGACACCTGGATATAGATAGTATTAGAAACCAGACACCTGGATACAGATAGTATTAGACACCAGACACCTGGATACAGATAGTATTAGAAACCAGACACCTGTATACAGATAGTATTAGAAACCAGACACCTGGATATAGATAGTATTAGACACCAGACACCTGTATACAGATAGTATTAGACACCAGACACGTGGATATAGATAGTATTAAACAGACACCAAACACCTGGATACAGATAGTATTAGACACCAGACACCTGGATACAGATAGTATTAGAAACCAGACACCTGTATACAGATAGTATTAGAAACCAGACACCTGGATATAGATAGTATTAGACACCAGACACCTGTATACAGATAGTATTAGACACCAGACACGTGGATATAGATAGTATTAGACACCAGACACGTGTATACAGATAGTATTAGACACCAGACACCTGTATACAGATAGTATAAGACACCAGCCACGTGTATACAGATAGTATTAGAAACCAGACACCTGGATACAGATAGTATTAGACACCAGACACGTGTATACAGATAGTATTAGACACCAGACACCTGTATACAGATAGTATAAGACACCAGCCACGTGTATACAGATAGTATTAGAAACCAGACACCTGTATACAGATAGTATTAGACACCAGACACGTGCATACAGATAGCATTAGACACCAGACACCTGGATACAGATAGTATTAGACACCAGACACGTGGTTATAGATAGTATTAGACACCAGACACCTGTATACAGATAGTATTAGACACCAGACACCTGTATACAGATAGTATTAGACACCAGACACCTGTATAAAGATAGTATTAGACACCAGACACGTGGATATAGATAGTATTAAACACCAGACACCTGGATATAGATAGTATTAGACAAAGACACCAGACATTCGGAGACAGATATTAACCTTGCAATTTGCTTATAATTGTCTCTGGTATAATCTAAAACCTAGATCCATAAAACCTAAAAAGTTAAACTGTCTTCGACAGCAACCTATAGACCCATAAAACCTAAAAAGTTTAATTGTCTTCGACAGCAACCTATAGACCCATGGAACCTAAAAAGTTTAACTGTCTTCGACAGCCACCTATACACCCATGAAACCTAAAAAAATTGTATTCGACAGCAACCTATAGACCCATGAAACCTAAAAAGTTTAACTGTCTTCGACAGCAACCTATACACCCATGAAACCTAAAATAAATTGTCTTCGACAGCAACCTATAGACCAATTAAACCTAAAAAGTTTAACTGTCTTCGACAGCAACCTATACACCCATGAAACCTAAAAGTTTAATTGTCTCTGGTAATATCTGTAATCTTGATATATACATTAACCCAATATTTAAAAGCATAAAGCTAGTAGAATCATACACATACAAATCTCAAACCTAATGAGACTAATTGCCTATGATAGAATTTGACACCTGGATCATTTAAATCCAACAAAAAGGAAATTATAAACTTTTTACTTTGAGCTTTTCTCAACAATTATTTAGTAAAAATATAATGTAAAGGAATGAGAAATGGTACAAAACCTTAGAAACTAGATGAAGTAATATTATTCCCAAAACTGATTTTATCCCAGTATCCATGCTAGTCCTGGAACTGATCCTTGTATCCATACTGGGGCTGGAACTGGAAGGTCAAGGTTGGGTTTAGTTCTCTCTCAGCTCTTCGTTAGCTCTGCTCAGCTTTCCTAAATATGCAGAGTTCAAGTTTTGATTTGTTTAAGAGCTAGGAAAATTACTTGTAGGCCTGCTGTGTGGAGGGGGGGGGGGGTCTTGAAACTTGTGAAGTAAAAATTAATAACAAATTTAAAGAATTAAATCTTTTTAAACTTTCTGAACTTTTCTAGAGTCACATGCGAATTTATGTAGTAAAGACGAGCAAGAAAATGACGGGGATGATTAGAAACTGACTTTGCCATTCATTGATTTCAATTTTGAAATGGAAAGTAAGTCTCTAATAGCCCCTTCAAGTCAGGAAAAAGAGGGAAGGGAGGTTAAGGCCAAAGTTTAATAACTCGGAAGGATAACTGTAGAAGGAAAATAAGGGATATATTACGATACAAAAACAATACACAAACATAAACATAAAACACGAGATTTATGGAGTTTGAGAACAAAACATCAGATTCATACAGAGCAAGCAATAGGCTCAGAAATTACATTACGTAGTTAGGTGTAGTACGAAAAATAAAAATTCAGAGATATCTGTTAATCTCCATGTAAAAAGAGAATGAGATTAACTAATCCAGTTTATTCAAAAGCTCCAAGCTTTGGCACAACTAATTAAAATCAGAATATATTTTAGTGATAACATAACAGAAAATGCCTAATATAATTTTATTAACTGAATTGAAACCATTTGGAGCTGACGCATCTGAAAAATTGGAACCAATAAAACGCAATTGATTTGGGTTGTATTGTAAACAATTGGAAAATGAGAACAATTCGCACTTGTAAAAAAAACTAAAATTGAATGATTGCAAGATTTATGAACTAATGGAACACTAATTTATATATATATATATATTTGGCTTGTTTGCGTGTTTGTTTGTATCCAATAAACGTGATCTTCATGACAGAAACAATCTCAAAAACTGACGAGGGTCAACCCAGACCGAAGTACATTTTGAATAAATGTGGAAATAACATCTACTTTTTATTACTCTACAGAGGTTTGGTCCATTACCATCACCGAATTTTAAAAAAGTTAATGAACTGATCGGGGCCAATTTTTGTGTGGCAACTCACATGACCCCAGGCAGGGGCGTTCGAGAGCATTTGAGAAGGGGGGGGGCACTTTTTGTGCCCCCTTGGAAACATTGTGCCCCCACTTAAAACACCTTTTTTGAAAAAATATTAATACCTTTTTAACTATTCTATTATGTACACACTTCCATATTACAAGTGTTAATAAACTATTTATGAAATTTTCTTAAATGGACTCATCAGACACTCCCTCTTAATACTGTAGTGTAAGCTTCAAGGGATGAAAAATAGAGATGGAAACGTTTCGTAAAAAATAACTATATTTTAATAGGATTTAAATTACATCAATAATGATATCAAATATATATTTACACTGAGGGCAGTATTGATTAAAGCTTTTTTAATGAAACTTTTTTAGTTAAGGGCAAAAGTGAGATTTCAAAGTTTTTTTTTCATATGATGTAATTATACAAATGAAAATAATCAGTTTTTAAAATAGGAAACATGGATATTTAATGCAATACTTGATCAGAAAAAGCTTTGAAGGGTATTGTTGTGAAATTATGTCTGCAATCACTTTAAACCTCTCAATTGATTCTATATTAATTAAACTGCTATGTTGGTTTGTGAACTTTGAAGAGATGAAAAAAGAAATTTACAAAATGATTTTAAAAAAAGATAATGAAAAGCTTTAAAATTACTGCCTCCAAAATCAAGAATCCGAGGTTTTTTCTCAAAAGATCTCCAGATGTAATATTAAATGAGCCCCCCCCCCCAGGGGGCACGCGTAGGGGGGCCGTGTATCCAGCCCCCCACCCCTCGTACGCCCCTGACTCCAGGGAAAGTGTATGGACGGTCAAAATGAAAAAATGTCGACTTTTACAATTTTTGAAAATTCCCGAACTTAAACCGAAAAATACGGAGTTTAAAGAAAAATAGGAACTTGTAAGTTAAAACAGTTAGAAGCTAAAACTGTTACTAGAAAAGGCGCGCCCTAATAGTCTAGTATTAATAGAAATACACTGTGTTGTGAGCATAGAATAAATTCAATAAACTGTTGAAGGAGAACATGCATGAGAAGCACTTCGTTTCCCAAAAAAATAAATGTTAAAAAATGGATACTATAGAAAAGAAAAAAATTCAAAAATTTTTTGAAACCAAAAAGAATTCACCTTAAAATCCATGACACGCTTAGATGTAAAATAAAGAAAATAACACTTTTTTGTGCACCCATAGGAGGGTAACTGATTATTTAAAGAAAGGGGTTTTAAGCAATATGAAGGAAAAGATATTAAATAAATAAGAACGGATTTGATGGTTAAAAAGAGTATGACGATTAGGATAATTAAGGATGAGAACAGAAATGACTAGGATATAAATATAAATGAGTAGGATATAAATATAAATGAGTAGGATATGAATTTAAATGAGTAGGATGAGCTGGATGAGATAAGGACGCACTGAAACTAAATGTATCTCCGGCTGGGCCCCAGGATACAGGAAATATCAATTGCTCTCGTCAGTTTAACATTTAACATATATATATATGATTACAAGAACTTAGCAAATGGAAAACAAATAAAAATGAATTGAAATAGAGTTTTAGAAAACTTGATCAGATTTTTAACTGTAAGGCGCATGCACGCAAGAAAATGAATTAAGTATTTGCCTCAAACTCAAATGTTCTTATCCCTATATCTTTGCAATTTGATATTTCAAACTTAACTTGTTTGATTTAACAGAATACATAGTTTGAAATATCTAAGGTCTACTACATTGGGTTGCAAAGACAGGGATTAAATATCTAAGGTCTACTACATTGGGTTGCAAAGACAGGGATTAGAAAACCAGAGTATGTGCCAATAACTCGAGCTCGTCTCGATTAGATTAAAATCCTTATATGTTTTACAGTCATAAGAACTGAAGTGAAGAGCTGTAAAGAAGAACAAAAATGTTTTGAATTTACAGTTTCTAATTCTGCGTAAATTTACTTTTTTCATGCTGCTATCAATACTAGAGGAATTATATACGAGCTCACACAAATAAATAGGACTAAGAACTGATCAATTGTATTAACAGTAACTATCTTATCCCTATATCTTTGCATCCATATATTGTAAACTTTTGATTTGTAAAGATTCGACGTTTTGATCTAGCAGAATTTATAGATTTAGATGTCAAATGTCTAAAAGTTACAGCATAGGGCTGCAAAGTTATAAAGATTACAAAACTAGAGATTGAAGCGAATAATTAGTTACTCTAACTTGACTTTTAATTACTGTAACTTGACTTTTAATTACTGTAACTTGACTTTATCAGTTATAGTCGAGGTTTCAGTAATGACTGATAATTATGATGAGTGCTTTTTTAAAAATAAAATAAATCAAGAATTGTGAACTAAACATCTAAATATTCAAAGAAACTAAAGTCAGTAATTCCTAAAACCACGAAACATCTATCAACGTGAATTTATCTGTCCATACTGTCATATTGAATTTTGTATCATCAAGTTATATTAACAGTAATTCATCGAGTAGAAAGTGTTTCAAAGCATTTAGATCGTGTGGATAGTGTTTCTTAAAATTATCATCGAGTAGAGTGTTTCTAAACATTATATTTTCGATTAGATATGGGTTTCTAAACATTAATATTATGGAGTATGATAGTGTTTCTAAACATTATACTATCAAGTAGATAGTGTTTCTAAACATTATATTATCAAGTAGATATAGTGTTTCTTAAAATTATCATCTCAAGTAGTTTGTGTTTCCAAACATTATATTTTCGAGTAGATAGTGTTATTAAACATTAAATTATTGAGTAGATAGTAGAGATGTCAACGTTTTTATTTTTCTAGATTTTAGCTTTCGTTACGATAGTGTTCATCAAAAGTATTAACGTTTCAAACGTTACGTTGCACATTATGAAATTTTATGGCATAGAGTAACGTTACGTAATGAATTTTCTGCACTTGAATACCTTATACAACGTTAAGCTTTAGTAAATGTTAGTGAAAAACAGTAAGCTCCGTTACGCTTTTGCATTTCCTGTTTTAAAAAAAACTTTCCTAACGTTGCGTTAAAGCTTATGTAATATAACCACAACTTTTTAACGTTCCACTTTCATGCAAGGTAAATATTTTCAGAGACTTTACGTTACACTTTCACTTGATTTAAGATCTAAAAGATGACAAACGTTTTGCTTTAATAAAACGCCATTGGGGCATAGTTCTGTACGTTACAATTCGTTTCAGGGCAAAGAATATTTTTTGATAACGTTACGTTTTATCTTAACTTTTCCAATATAAACTCTTTTAATTATGTTTAGAAATTTTACTAAAATGCACCTTTTCTTACGTTACGATTTATCGAAGCGTTATTGAGCAAACTTATTTGTTACACTTTTTTACAACTGACCATCAAAACTGTTTATTCGTTTCGTTTCTAAGAAAGATTTGAAGAAATGTTCTTTACGTTGCGTTGTATTAAAATGTTCAAGCCTTAATGTTTCTTACGTTACACTTTATTAAAATAATAATGCTTCTAAATGAAAGCATTGCAAGATTTTTTTCCGTGATAATTACATTTTTTTTACTCACCCTATATGTTGCTGTTGTATTGTTAACCTTTTTAGTGAATGTGTAGAAGAATATGCATTATTCAATATAAAGATGTTATAATATTATTATTTTTTACGGTTTTCAAAATTTGTGAAGGAAAGTTTTTAGCATTAGATTTCAACTCAAAGTGTGTCTTAAAGGGACTAGAGACCTTCCATTTATGGAGTGACATGTACAATAGGGGTGATCTATATTGGAATAAAGCCAACCGCCCACCGGAAGTCGCCGCGTTTTCACTTAAGAAATATTGCAATAAAAAATGTTGTTTTTTATTTTCTAATTTTACATCATTTTCTTGCTAAATTCAAATCTGAAAAGCGTTTAAAAAAATGAAAATCAAGTGAGTCAGAGCTAAAAAAAAACTCATCAAAAACATTAAAAAGTTTAAAAACTGGAATTAAGTACCGTTATTTGGCCATAACTTCTTTAGATTTTAATATATTTAAAAATGGTTTTCGAATCTGAATTCAGCACGAAATTTCCGAGAAAATAATGTATCATATTTATTTTTTAAAATATTTTTTTTGGCCTTGCGGCGATTTCTCCAATAATAAATTGTCAATTCGCAACCCTATGGACAATTTTGAAATTTTTTTTATTACAATATTTTTATTAATTTAAAACGTAGCGACCTCAGGTGGGTGGCTGGCTGAGTTCTAAAAAAAGTCACAAATCAATCACCCTTAATGTCCAGCATACATTTACAATATAGGAAAACACTTCTAATTTTCAAATCATCAATCAGATAAAGGTATACACGTTATCATTGGGAATCAAGCATGGCCCTCTTTAAATGGAGGATCACTTGAAATTATCATCGTGTATTTGATGAGCTTAAAAAATAGACATGTTTTGGGACACTTCATAAAATGAGTTAAAATTCGGCAGGGCAAACCACTTTTACATGTGGAACAGTAGTTCTAAATTATTTTAGATTAGTTTAGGGTTAATTTTTTCTTTTTTTACGCAATGCTCACTGACCCTTTTCTTCTATCTAGCAGAATTCATATTTAAAATATCTAAGGTCTACAACATTGGGTAGCAAAGATTAGAAATATAAGTTTGTGAACAATTTAATTCCTTTAGACATTCTTATCTAACAGAAATCATAGCTTGAAAGTCCACAACACCAGCTTGCAAAGATGTAGAGATTTGACAATTGTAAGGAATTGAGTCTTTGCCACAAACTCTGATTTTCTAATCACTATATCTTTGGAACCAAATGTTGCATACCTTAGATATTCTAAACTATGAATTCTGTTAGATCAAGTAATCTGAGTTTGAAATATCAAAGGTTTACAACATCGAGTTCTAAAGATATTGTGGTTTAAATATTTGATTTCGTTCCAAAGACTCAATTCCTTTGTTGCGAATTTTTAGTTCTTTTTGAGTTTTTTTTATGTTACTTACAAAGTGAGTAAAAAAGCGGCATTAGCTTTAGTTCAAAAACCACAATGAAAATTTTTCAGGATTCATGTTTGGGTTAAACAATATCAAATATAGTAAGACAAGTGCTAAAGTTTTTTTAACACAAACAACGCGAAATAAAATTATTTAACATTTTTTTCTTTAAAAAAAAATCGATTAAAAAATCGTTTTTTTTCTATTCTAAAGTTTCATAAAAATCTATTGATGAATAAAACATAACACGCATTTTCCATTTGATAAAATATTGTTGCATTTTAGTAAGTATCTACATATCTAAATTTTTCAATCTAAAACATGAACCATGCCAACTGAAGTTATGATTTCAAGTAGTCAAATAAATATGAAACCCAGCAATTGTGTTTGTTCACAGACCCGTTCCACTTAATAAGTTGATTTTTTTGCAATTAGTAAATCATTTGCTTTATAACAGAAAATGCATATGTAAAATTTATTAATGTCGTCTTCCTTTTCCAGAGTTTTAGTTGGTTTCATAAAACAGTGGCAAATCAAAAACCTAGAGCACAAGAGCTTTCTAATGATGTATCATTTGTCATATTTGGACATAAAACATGGGATTTTGAGAGGGGGGGGTAAAATTGACCCCCCCCCCCAGCATATCCCGGTTTTCAAGTACCCCAGCAGGGATAGAGTTAATGGTCTACCGCATCGGGTTGCAAAGATATATTAAATGAAAATTAGAGTTTTTGGCAGAAAACTCATTTTCTTTAAACTTTAAATGAAAAACCATGTTTCCTGTCATAATCATCAGTCGAATCTCTTATATTGATATATTAGAGACGTTTGAAATGTTTTGATTGGCAGAATTATTGTTACACTTTTGAAATTAAAACTCAGCCCTCTTAGTCTAACGTTTTATGAACAACATTTTCATCAGACATATATCTAACGTTAGACTAATCAATTTAGTATTCAGAGAAAAGTTATGAAACGTTTTGATTTACAGAATTACATTTTTTTAAATGTTATACGTTACATTATTGAAATTTTACTCTGTAAAAGAAACTTACGTTTTCTGATTATTAAAATAATAACCCATTTCTGCAACGTTGAATTTTTCATTATACTATAAGGGAAAACGTTTCAAAACGTTTTCATAAACAGTAATGCATTTTTCAGTTGTACAACGTTACACTTTTTATAAGTTGAACTTTGAAATTGGAATCCTTTCGTTACGATATTCGATCATATCACAATTAATTTTTCAAACGTTAGACTTTCAAACTCCCCTTGGAAACAAAACATTTCTTTACGTTATGATCAAAAAAGTTGTCGATATTAGAAAAATAACGTTACATTTCCACAAAACGCAAACGTTGGGGATATGTTCCTCTAACGTTAACGTTTAACGTTAACGTTAGGGATAAGCCTCCTATAACGTTAACGTTTAACGTTCACGTTAAATAGAATATATCCAAACGTTACACATTATTTTAACGTAACGTTCAAAAAAGTGCATTTTACGTTACGTTACACTATCGTTGACATCTCTAGCTAGATAGCGTCTCTAAACATTATTTTATCGATTAGATATGTGTTTCTAAACATTAATATTATCGAGCAGATAGTGTTTCTAAACATTATACTATCGAGTAGATAGTGTTATTAAACATTATATTATCGAGTACATAGTGTCTCTTAACTCAATAGTATCGAATAGATAGTGTTTTTTAACATTATATTATAAAGTAGATAGTGTTAGTAAACATTATATGACCTAGAAGATAGTGTTATTAAACATTTTATGATCGAGTAGATAGTGTTTCAAAAAATTTTATTTGTACGTTATAGATAGGGGTTCAAAAACTTTCATTGAAAATAAAGTGTTTTACAGCATTTTCATTGAATAGATAGTGTTTCAAAAAATTTACTTTCAATATATAGTGGTTTAAATTATTTTCATTGAATAGAAGTGTTTCAAAACATTTTATTTAAATAGATTGTGTTTCAAAACATTTTATTAAATAGATAGTGTTTCAAAACATTTTCTTTGAATAGATAGTGTTTCGAAACATTTTCTTTGAAAAGACAGTGTTTCAAAACATTTTCTTAAAATAGATAGTGTTTCTAAACATTTTCTTTGAATAGATAGTGTTTCAAAACATTTTCTTAAAATAGATAGTGTTTCTAAACATTTTCTTTTAATAGATAGTGTTTCAAAACATTTTCTGTAAGTAGACAGTGTTTCAAAACATTTTCTCTAAATAGTTAGTGTTTCAAAACATTTTCTCTAATTAGATAGTGTTTCAAAACATTTTATTTGAATTTTCTGTTCAAATAAAATGTTTTAACACGTTTTCGTTGAGTAGACACTGTTTTTAAAAACATTTTCTTTGAAAAGAAAGTGTTTAAAAACATTTTCCTTGAATAGATAGTGTTCCAATTCCAATTTCACTGAACTGTGCAAGGATTTTCCTCTAAAAGTTCTGATATGATTTTTATCAACATCTAATTCTCATAAATACATAAATTTACGTAGATTCAATGGAAACAAAGGATTCAAATAAACCTAGAGATAAATGTATCTAGGAATATTAAATATAAAATACAGAAATGACACAAAAGAACCAGAAGATTTTCCTCGATATATGTTCACAAGATACAGCTTAATACTAAGATTCATCTTTATACAGGGTTACCCGCAAAGGATGAGACTGTAAAGACGACCTAAAACTCACATAAATGACGATCCCAAGATTGTATGTTAAGTCCTCTGTCTTAAATACGTCTTTTAATGTCTTTTTTAATGAGCTGTCAAAGTAACAAACGTGATAATGCAGTTGCAGAGATTCGTGAATATGAGGAAACAGATAGAATAAATTCCATAGAGTCGTCTCTGAATTAGCTTCAATCTCATTCTGTGTGGGTAACCTTGCACATCAATATGCAGAAATATAAAAATAAAGGATACAAAGAGTTAAAAATGTCTATACTCTCTAGATAAGATATATACTGTAATAGAAGGAAAAAAAGAAATTAAAGAATATAATATCTATCTCAGGAACACAAGGGTAAATAAAGATAACAAAGAATATCTATATTATGAAGGAATAGATCAGGATACAAAATAATCAAATAGTTTGTTTGATCTTACAGTATGTGTATAAGTACAATGGGCATAGACTAGATATAATATAGGTACAGAAATTACATGGATACAAAGTAAACAAAAAACACCTCTAAATCGATCTAAGATACATTAAATGGAATGAATGGATACAAAGAATAAATTATATATCTTTTGATATCCAAGAAGATACAGGAATTGAATGGATACAATTGAATGAATTGAATTGAATGAATTGATAAACGTTTCTATATATAATATCCATAATCTAAGATACAGAGATGAAAGGATACAAAGGCAACAATTGATATCTTTATACAGGGTGTCCCACATCAAATTAGACCGCGTCAATAGGTCTAAATTGCGATTTGGGGGAAAACCAGGAAATTTAAGAAGAATGAATCATTTTGAAAAAATTTATAAGTCTTATAGATTTTTTTTTGCAGAAAATGCTAGATTTTTCGAGTACACTGAAACCCTTAATAACGAATGCATCGAAAGAATTCATCAAATGTCGTATTCTTCACTTTCTGATAATGGAATGTTGCAGATATTTATTTTTTAATTAAATGATTATATGGAACTCTCTAAAACTGTTCCCGCATATTCATGGATATTTATTTATTTTCGCAAATACTGAAATTTACGTAATATAGTATAAAACTCATTGAAAATTGTCAAGACGACATTTGATAAATTCTTCCGATATATTCGTTATTAAGGGTTTCACTGTATTATGTGCGTATTTTGGCGTTAAAGATTGGAGATAATCTAATATGATATGTGACGCTTGTAGATAGCAAAAGTACATGAATAAAAGGATACAACGGCATAAGGACATATATATATAAGGTATCGATAGAAAGGAAAGCAAACAAAGAACATATTTAAATATCCAAGATACAATACTTTCAAGGATACATTATTTTAAAAGCTAACAATTATTTCGAAGATACAGGAATAAAGGCAAAAAACACATAAATAAATAGTATCGATATGTCCATGGATACAAAAAAACAAATGATTAATTCATCTTTATTAAGTTATACGTTCAAACTTAAGGATAAGATACATTTTATTTTATGCAATTATTATTCTGTAATATAGAAGATTTTGGTAATGTTACATCGTCTATACGCAATTCATCCCCTTTACTGAACTTCTGACCTACTAACTTTCCGACCTACGCCAGCTGTTTATTTTTGTATTATTTGAGGGTTAGATTACAGTTGCTAGTAGGTCAGATGTGTAGTATTGCGGATTTGGCGTAGGTCATAAGTGGAGTATAGCGGATTTGCGTAGGTCGAAAATTAAACCACCTTTATTTTATTATTAGATTAGATTTTCAGTAACGACGACTTCTAACAAGCTGCCATGTCTTTTAAGCTCAAATGCCGCGTTTCAATTTCAAACTGAAAATGTCTGTCCAAATTTATGCGTTATTTAACTTCCTAATTCTATAATTCTTTTCAACCATGGCAATTATGCATTTTGATTAGATTAAGTGTTTTATCAAGCTACAGCGACTAATTTCCAAAATTTTACTTTTTTTAAATAAAAGTGATTCTTTGAATTGTTAAGACCAAGTTTAAAACGACTTGATATTTAGATATAATGTTGGGGCGGACTTCCCTTGGGTTATGTCGGGGAGGGAGTGGAGTACCTCTACTCCGTGCTGCCGGAGTTCAACCCTCTAGAGCTAACTCAGGGCCTCCACCTAAACTAGAATGTTTTATTGATGGGAAGAAGGTTCTTGTTGATCCTGGTACCACTGTTTTACAGGTCAGTTTTAAGATGGAAAATAGGGGGGGGGTCCAAAAATCGTTCTCTAGGAACATACCATACCTAGTCCTAATCTCCAAATAAACTTATTCTTTAAAACTTTATTCAGTAATATAAATCTATTATACAGAGCGTCCCATATCATATTAGATTATCTCCAATCCTTAACGCGAAAATACGCACATAATACTCGATAAATCTAGCATTTACTTAAATTTTTTTTTTTATTAGCCTTATTAAATTTTTCAAAATGATTAATTCTTCTTAAATTTTCTGATTTGTCCCCCAAATCGTAATTTAGACCCATTGACTCGGTCTAATTTGATGTGGGACACCCTGTAGTTATGAGATGCTTTTCGCAGAGCTCTCCAATAATTAAAATTCAATCGATTTAAGATAAAAATAATTTGCAAACGTAGTTGCAGACTTTTCATCTTGAATCATAGAAGGCAAACATGGACAAAAACTGCCATTAGGAATAACGAATCTATTTGCAAACGTAGTAATTTGTTTATTTAAAAGTTTGAAAAAGAGTCCTAATAGCTGAAGCTTCTTTGTTAGAATTTTTTATTCTGAACAGAAATGCAGTGTTGTTAATGAACATTTTTTTTATAGCCCCTTTTTGCGATGTAAAGGAATTTTATGTGATACGATGAAAACAGAAACTAATTTTAGCTCCTTAAATCAATTTTTCAACTGCATTTTTTGGATTTCTATTGAAAGTTTACATCTGATCCTAACCTAAATCAATTTTTCAACTGCATTTTTGGGATTTCTAATGAAAGTTTACATCTGATTCTCTCTACAAAAACATCTAAAAGATTTAATTCATAATTTCATTAAAGGCCATCATTTCGATTTTTGTTAATTTTTTAAACGCATTGCTCTTGTTTTTGTTTTATTTTCATTTATGCACCTTTAAACTAAATATTTAGGCTGCCGCTATGGTCGGAGTAGAGATTCCCCGCTTCTGTTACCATGATCGTCTCAGTATCGCCGGAAACTGCCGGATGTGCTTAGTGGAAGTAGAAAAATCCGCTAAACCGGTCGCAGCCTGTGCTATGCCAGTCATGAATGTTAGTTAATAGATAGTTTTCCTTAAATAGATACCATATTTTTAAATTTCATTTGTTAAAAAAGATACATATTTCAATTATGTTGGTAATTTAAATATCAGAATTTACCACATCCACATTTATACACTTATTTTGTAAACAATTGAAATCATGTTTAGGGATGGAAGATAAAGACCAACTCCGACTTCACCCGTAAAGCTAGAGAAGGTGTGATGGAGTTCCTTCTGGTTAATCATCCACTAGATTGTCCTATTTGTGATCAGGGAGGGGAATGCGATCTCCAGGTATATATTTAAACCATCTGCGATCTCCAGGTATATATTTGAATCATCTGCGATCTCCAGGTATATATTTGAATCATCTGCGATCTCCAGGTTTATTCGAACCTTTGTCACAATACAGAGATTAGCAACGTAAAAATCAACATCAGTCCTCCCAGTCGTATTATTAGATAAGATAAGAAAAAGATTAATAGATACCGAGGAAAAATTACAACTTATTGCATCGGATTACTTCAAGAGCTAGAAGCAAAAAAATACCTAAGATTTAAATCTTTTCAGACTAAAAATAAAATTCACTCGGTTTATTTAATTAGTTCTTTGTAAAATTTTAAGGAGACTGTGGCAAGTTGTTAATTTCGTTGAGGTTACTCAAAACAACGTTTACACTCAGACAATGGTAGATTTGGGGGGGGGGGGGGGGGGGAGCGGTAAATAATAAAACCTTAAAAAGGGGTTATTTTTATCTTGTTTCTTCATTTAGGATCAATCCATGGCGTTCGGTTCCGATAGGTCCAGGTTTACTGATAATGAGTTCCTTGGTAAGCGAGCAGTTGAAGATAAGAATATCGGTCCTCTCGTCAAAACTGTTATGACACGTTGTATTCATTGCACAAGGTCAGTTGGTTTTATTTTAATCACGAACGAGTTGATCATCCCTTCATTTAATACAAATTGCCACAGAGTCATTTAGACTTTAAAGCTTGCAGTGAACACTATTAAATGAAAGTAAGAGTAATTTTTTAGCAAAAATTAACAGGAAATAAACGCCCCTAAATCCTGATTGAGACTTTAAGATTTTTACGTTTCACCAATTATATTTTACTAGATGTGTGAGATTTTCGTCCGAGGTTGCCGGAGTAGAAGACCTTGGAACCACAGGACGAGGAAACCAGATGCAGATCGGAACCTACGTCGAGAAAATGTTGATGTCTGAACTCTCTGGGAACGTGATCGATCTCTGCCCCGTCGGAGCTCTTACTTCCAAACCCTACGCGTTCATGGCCCGGCCCTGGGAGACCAGGAAGACCGAGTCCATCGACGTCTTGGACAGCGTCGGCAGCAACATCGTGGTGACCCACAGGACCGGGGAGGTTCTGAGGATTATGCCGAGGATGAACGAGGACGTGAACGAAGAATGGATTTCAGACAAGACAAGGTTTGCCTACGATGGTTTGAAAAGACAAAGATTAACTACTCCCATGCTTCAGGTAAAATTATGATAATTAAGAAGTCGAAATATTTGCTGTTGAAAATCTAGTACTGCTAATTTGCATTTGCCTATTAAGTAATCATATTGCGTGCTCAATTGCATTTAATTTCCTTATTCAAGTGAAATTTTAATTTATCTTCTAATTTTCATTTTTCATTTGAATTAGATATCTCATTCCTATGAAACTCTTTATGATCGTATGTTCTTCTGCGGACCCTGAATCTATGTTGAAAGCTCCTTAATATAATTATTTTAAACCTATTCTGATTGTCAACTTTTGCTTTTTCACTTACAATTTTACAATACATGAAATATTTTTGGAAACTCATACTTATTTAATTTTCTTTTTTTGTCCTAAAAAAAACCATGTTGCAGATTATTTTCTTTAATTTCTTGTTCATTTATTGAATAAGATGATATCTAGGACGGATCCGGAAACCTAGCTCCAGTAAGCTGGGAGGATGCTATTGTTGCAGTAGCTAAAGCTCTGGACTCTACCCCCTCTGATCAAGTTGCCGCTGTGGCCGGAGGACTAGCGGACGGAGAGTCTCTGATGGCTCTGAAGGATCTTCTGAACAGACTGGGGAGTGAAACTTTGTGCACTGAAGAAATATTCCCAGATGTAAGCTTAATCTTTTGTTTTGAGAAAACATTACATAAGTTTGAGCAAAAACTTATTTATTTTTTTCCGTCTTAAAGATCTATTTTGATATAAATATCTTAAAAGCCTAAACCCTATTCCGACTGACGTCTGGTTTACCCAAAATAAACTCCCCTCTCTTTTTCCTTCTTAAGATACAAATCCATAAAATTTGATACTTTTTTGGAAAGTCCTTGGGCCCTACTTTAATAATCGGAAGAAAATATTGCAAATTTGCAAAAATCCAACTATTTATTGCGAAATCTTTTAAGCAAAAAGTTGCTAAAAAGCTAAAATTGTACGTTTTATGACAAATTATACATGTATACGAACTGTGTATAGATCTAGGATGGAACAGGAACTGTATAGTATACATCTGGATGGAACAGTAACTGTATAGTATAAATATAGGATGGAATAGGAACTGTATATTGTATAGTATACATATAGGATGGAATAGGAATTGTATAGTATATACATCGAGAATGGAACAGGAACTGTAATGTATATATATCTATATATCTAGGATGGAACAGGAACTGTAATGTATATTTATCTATATATGTAGGATGGAACAGGAACTGTGATGTATATTTATCTATATATCTAGGATGGAACAGGAACTGTGATGTATATTTATCTATATCTAGGATGGAACAGGAACTGTAATGTATATTTATCTATATATCTAGGATGGAACAGGAACTGATCTAAGATCTAATTATCTGATGAATACTGGTATAGCTGGAGTAGAAGATGCAGATCTTGCTCTTCTCATTGGAACCAACCCAAGGTAGAGATAATCAGACTCTAATTTAAGTTTTATTTATTTAGTTTTTGTAGAAATAATTTCATTTATTTAGAACTAGTAATATTTTTTAATACCTGTCGTATCAACTATATTTAATTAGATACAAGAAAAAAAATCAAACTAATACAGGAAACTGGAAGGAACTTGTCTAAAAATACCCCTCTATTTGAAACAATTAATCTTAGCTTAGGCAAAATTCCCTCTTTATGTTTCTTTCTGAAAGAAAAAAAATTCGGCCGTTTTATTGCGCTTCTATGCGTTAGAAATTAACAAGTTGATTGCTCAATTTTCAGATAGAAAACGTTAAACGCAGCTCCATGATTGATTATTAGTTAATCTAAGAATCAATCAATCATTAAAGCTTAAAATTTAATTAATTTTAAATCGGCCGAGTTAGCCAAACTTAACGCCAGATTTAAATTTTGTTGTTCACATCAAGTTTTTAGAATAATGAACCCAAAGCCGGAAACTTTTGTGTTGAAGACTCAAAATCCCAATTGCTTGATGTCGGTATCCACTGTGGGCACTTTAAATTTGAGGATCTACAAAAGACTATACCTTTCCATATCTTCCTTTCAGTTATTCCCCCTTTAACAAAGCTCCCCTCAACCCCTGATTGGGTACGTTTACCATGCGGGATATCGAAAATAGATTAACAGAAGATCGAGATCAAGAAATAATCTCGACAAGAGTTCCCAGATCTGAACTTTTAATTGATTTACTTTGGTCAGGTTCGAGGCTCCAGTGTTTAACGCTAGACTCCGTAAATGCTGGATCCACAACGAGCTGAACCTTGCCATGGTCGGACCCAAGGTCGACCTCACATACGACTACGAGGTAAACTTTACATCTTAGTCATAAAAAGTCAAAGTTTTTAATGTTTTTAAAAATTATGTGTTTTTTTGGGTTAAAAATCTTAAATCATTGATTAAAAGCATTGTTCTACAAAAAATTAGATGGAACACAGAGAAAAACACGGAGAACAGGATATGCAACCTCAAATTCACCTAAAATAGTATATTGAAGAATAAATATATTTGTATTTAGAAAATTACTTAAAACTGATATTTTAGCACCTCGGAGATTCCACTGATATCCTGAAGAAACTGGCGGACGGATCCCACCCCTTCTGTAAGACCTTGAACAGTGCTAAGAACCCCGTCGTTATTGTCGGTAGTGAAGCTTTACAGAGAGAGGACGGAGGAGCTCTTATTAACCTTGTACAACAGATTGCTGATAATGCCAAGGTATGGAAATCAACAGGTTTAAAACTAATTTTCCAACTATCCCTCTTCATATGATTTTCAAAAAATTATAAACCTGAAAATTTACCTGAAAACAAATAAATGCGTGAATTTTAATTTTCCTTAAAAACAAAACGGTTTTTAGAAAAATGTTATTTATTGACATTACAAATAAAAGTGCCAATTTGAAACCAAAACATAACTCTGAAAATAAAAACCCATGAGCTATTCAGAAAACAATTAACAATATGTTTATGGCTTAGACTAAGAGCGGAGCTGATCCTGAATGGAGAGTTCTTAATGTCCTCCACCGTGTAGCAAGTCAGGTTGCTGCCCTGGATCTAGGTTGGAAGGCTGGTGTGAGTGATGTAAGAGCTGCTAAACCTAAAGTTCTCTGGTTGCTGGGAGCTGATGCAGGAACTATCACTAGAGAAGATCTTCCTGCTGACTGCTTTGTTATTTACCAGGTTAGAATCAAATATTGTAAAAGAGTTTCTTTAAAAAAAATGTCGGGTATCAAACTAACTTGGTTCAGAAGATAAATATGGGCCAGGAACCAGGATCCGATCATGGTTTTCTTTTGGACCTGTTCCTGCTCTTGGTTCATGATTGTTTATTTATTTAGTTGTATCTTTTGATCTTTGCTCGTTATTACTTTATTGGTCGTAAAAATCTCGCTCGATCTTTGACTATGTGTGCTTAATCGATCTTCGATCGTAAATTCTTGATATATCTTTAAACGTTAGTTTTTGATTGATCTTAAAATTTTAGTTCCTGATTGATCCATGATAGTTAGTTCAAAATTGATCTTTTACCGTTAGTTCTTCGATCTTCGATGGTTATTTCTTGATTTACCTTTTAACGTTAGTTCTTGATTGATCTTTAAATTTAAGTACTTAGTTGATCCATGATAGTTTTACCGTTAGTTCTTAATTGATCTTTTATCGTAAGTTCTTAATAGGTATTTGATAGTTCTGAAGTTGATCTTTGATCGTGAGTTCTTAATTTATATTTGATAGTTAGTTCTTAATTGATCTTTGATCGTAAGTCCTTTATTGATCCCTGGTAGTTCTTAATTGATTTTTGATCGTGAGTTCTTAATAGATATTTGATAGTTTTTAGTTCTTAATTGATCTTTGATCGTAAGTCCTTTATTGATCCTTGGTAGTTCTTGATTGATTTTTGATCGTGAGTTCTTAATTTTTCTTTGATCCTGAGTTCTGTATTGAATGGTGATTAATGAACTGTGCTAAGGGACACCATGGAGATGCTGGAGCCGCCATAGCTGACTGTATCCTACCTGGAGCAGCTTATACAGAGAAACAGGTTAGTTCAGATATCTTCGACCCAGGGGTGTGTAATTTTAAGAATGATTTTGAAATTTGGATAAAAAAATAATTTAATTGGACATCAATAGGCAAGTTTTAGGAAACTTTGTATCACAAAAATTTAATTTTTCTAAAAATTCGTTGTCTCCCCCAATTTCTATTGGCATTCAGGTCAGCCTTGATGAGCTCCATGTCATCCTTGACTGCCCAGGATCCGGGTATGCAAGGAGGGTAACAGGAACGCCCGTTCTTTGTATATGAGTGAAGGAATGATTTTAAAAGAGTTTTTAAAAGAGATTTTAAAAGGGGGGATGCAGATGGTAAGGGGAAGTTGGTTATTCTCAATACTGGAGAATGGTCGCTAATGGTTTCCGAGCTGTAACAGATAAATAACGGGCACATTTCATAATAGACTGTTGCAGGGTACGCATCGTGACTCTGATCACGCCATTCCTCTAGGTCGTACTCCTCCTAGGAGATAGGTGGCCGGGCTGGTTCAGGATTGATCATATCAGTAGGGATAGGACGCTACCTGCGGCGGTCTGGGTTTCCCAAGCTGGGGTTTCTTGAGACCTCTTCTCTTATAACATATAACGTACTTAACTTCCTTTGGGGAACATTGCTTTAGGCATTCGAGTCAGAGTAGCCGGTAGCAATGTGAGTATAAATAAGGTGGGGGTAAAGGTTTCGTACACATTTCACTTGGTCTTATTAGGAATTCTATAATTTTATTGTAAAAGCATTAACAAAAACAATAATCATAAATCATCCATTTAAACAATAATGGAGTCTATGAAGAATAACCTAGCAGCTGATATTAAATGTAAATTAAAGATGATTTTTATACGAATAAATTATTCGAAGAAACAATCAACAGATTAACATCATGCATCTATGTTTACTAAATAAATCTAGCTCCAAAAGCAGCTCGCAGAGATGTATATTTTTCAGAATTTTTGACGATTTGGGAGTAAAACGAAAAATTTAACATCAAAAGGCCATATGCTTTTTGACCAAAAATTCCTTCAAAAAATCATTCATTTTCCATTATTCGCAAAAAAACCCTAAACAAATTTTGCACCTTGCAAGCATATTTATTTTTGAAAAAAAGATTTGCAAATAGAAGGATGACAAATTTTTGTTGACAAAATATATTTACCTCTGTAAAGCATTCCTAATACGTCACAGTATGATATACGCAAACCCAATACTACGTTCCTTATTTTTCTCTGCGTGTTGTTGGTAAAATGCGGTTATATTCATCAAATTCAGTGCTAAAGGGGAGAACTTGGTATATTCATATTTGGTTGGGAAAATCAAGGATATTGTTAAAGAGAAAGAGAAAATAATTTATAATGTTTAGAAACCCAACCTTGGATTTAAACCTTGCCGACAGTTTTTTTTATCATAATTGTGTGTTGTTTAGGGTACATATGTTAACATGGAGGGACGTGCTCAACAAACTTTTGCTGCTCTAACCCCACCCGGAGAAGCCAGGGAGGACTGGAAAATTATCAGGGTCGTCTCAGAGGTTATCGGAGAGAAACTTCCCTATGATAAAATATTTGAGCTGAGAGCTAGGATGGCTGAGGTAAGATAAATGTTCAGAATTTTATTTCCATTACTCATAATGGTTGGTAGAGTAGTACTTCAAATTAAGTTAGTTCTGAGCTGAAAACTTAGAATGGGATATCCTTAATCCCGATCTGTTAATTAATCTGTAGATTAATAACATGAGGAGAACAAGCAATATTTAATCTGGAGATTAAGAAAAAAAAATGGAGATCAAGCATTCATCTCGATATCCACCATTCTAAAGTTTTTTAGCTCAGATCACATTAAGTCTATTTTATTGGCACGAATAGACTTTTTTAATATCGGGGGAAAGAATTCGCTAACTCTGTATTGTTAAACTGGATGCTTATAGCGTAACGGGCTAAAATCTTGTTTTTAATTATTTTTAATTCTAGGTATCTCCCAGTCTCGTGAGGTACGGAACTACCGAAACCGCAAATTTCTTTGCCCAGTCCGTAGCGATGGCTAAATCCTTGAAATCTCAGATTAGCGCGAACAAGATCGATGTGAGCAAGAAAGTTTTGGAGGATTTCTACCAAACAGACAGCATCAGTCGTGCGTCACCAACCATGGCTAAATGCGTCACAGCTGTGAAGGCACAGAGAGAAAGCAAGTACGCAAAGTCATAATTGATGCGTCTCTGTTAACCGAATTGAAACTTAGATTTAAATTTTTATTCCGAATGTAGAAACCTATGTTAATATTCCGATAATAATATACAAATAAAATAAAAGATATAAAGTTTGAATTTCAAATATTTTGACAGGCGTTACGAATTTGTTTCTGGTCCAAACTAATTCTTAAATAGTAATTTTATAGATCTTGATTTCTGTGATAATTTTTGTCTGTTTACAGATCACAAAGAGGTATTTGTTATCATCTGTTAAAATCTACTACTCAAAGAAAGTGTTACTTAAGTACAAATTGTTTATTTTAATCTTATTACTACTTTTTTGAACACTGTGTCAAGACAGGGGTAACTTATTCCGTTAGTTTTTTTTTGGATTTATTTCCTTATGTTTATATCTTACAATTCCGAGAGTTTTTGGATTTAATTTAAACTTGTAATTGGGAATAATTTATTCTTGTATTTTGGATTAATTTAATCTTGTTTTTGGGATTTATTCAATCTTGTAATTGGGATTAATTTAATCTTGTATTTGGGATTGTTTTAATCTTATGATCGTTATTTTTTCTTGGGTTATTAGCCTTAAGTATATAATTTTCTATGCCTCAGGGGACTCAGGGATACTTGGATATAATGAGAGTTGCAACAGAGCTCGTTCTCTCCATAGAAAGTGGTCGTGTAGTTCACGTACTTTGGGGGACGATATGTTGGCCGCTAGATGTCTCATGCTAAATTCTTATCTGATAGATAGATATTTCTCCGTACGTTTGACGACCAATATAGGAGATGCAAGTTGTCGACCAATGTAGTTTATGGAAGGAACGGCCTCTGAGGTTGGAGGGTTAGAGACTACAGAGTACAGACTTGAGAAGAGACGTTGAGAATTTTGAACTGACAAAATATAAATACTGAATATTCTGAATCTGAATCTAAATATTCTTAAAATGTATCAAACGTTCCGAGAAAAAGTTTTAGTGAGATCAGAGTAACACTTGTACTATCTGTGTACTATACTTGTACTACCTGTGTACTATACTTGTACTATCTGTGTACTATACTTGTACTATCTGTGTACTATACTTATACTATCTGTGTACTATACTTGTACTATCTGTGTACTATACTTGTACTATCTGTATACTACTTGTACTATATATCTGTGTACTATACTTGTACTATCTGTATACTATACTTGTACTATCTGTGTACTATGCTTGTACTATCTGTGTACTATACTCGTACTATCTGTGTACTATACTAATACTATCTGTGTACTATACTTGTACTATCTGTGTACTATACTTGTACTATCTGTGTACTATACTTGTACTATATATCTGTGTCCTATACTTGTACTATATGTGTACTATACTTGTACTATCTGTGTACTATGCTTGTACTATCTGTGTACTATGCTTGTACTATCTGTATACTATGCTTGTACTATCTGTGCCCTACGCTTGCACTATTTGTGCGCTGTGCTTATACTATCTGTGTACTATACTTGTACTATCTGTGTACTATGTCTGTACTATCTGCGCACTATACTTGTACTATCTGTATTCTATGTTTGTACTATCTGTGCACTATACTTGTACTATCTGTGAACTTTGTTTGTACTATCTGTGTACTATGCAGCTATGTTTGCACTATATTTGTACTATGCTTGTACTATGTCTATTACACTTGTACTATGCGAGAGAACCTCCATCAGGGAATAAGACCTCCATGGTGAGATAATTTCGATAAATGTGTTATAATATGCTTGTACTATCTGTGTACTATGCTTGTACTATCTGTGTACTATGCTTGTACTATCTGTATACTATGATTGTACTATCTGTGCCCTACGCTTGTACTATTTGTGCGCTATGCTTATACTATCTGTGTACTATACGTGTACTATCTGTGTACTATGTCTGTACTATCTGTGTACTATACTTGTACTATCGGTATACTCATGTTTGTACTATCCGTGCACTATACTTGTACTATCTGTGAACTTTGTTTGTACTATCTGTGTACTATGCAGCTATGTTTGCACTATCTTTGCACTACATTAGTTGTACTATGTCTACTACACTTGTACTATGCGAGAGAACCTCCATGGTGAGATAATTTCGATAAATGTATTATAATCCTCCGTCCTCCCATAGAGAAAATTTTGATCTCCGTCCTTTTAACCTATCCTGTTATCTCTAGACATATAGAATCCTCCTCCGGCTCCTAACCTTTCCTATTATCTCTAGACATATAGAATCCTCCTCCAGCTCCTAACCTATCCTATTATCTCTAGACATGTAGAATCCTCCTCCAGCTCCTAACCTATCCTATTATCTCTAGACATGTAGAATCGTCTTCCAGCTCCTAACCTATCCTATTATCTCTAGATATGTAGAATTCTTCTCCAGCTCCTAACCTATCCTATTATCTCTAGGTATATAGAATCCTCCTCCAGCTCCTAACCTATCCTATTATTTCTAAACATGTAGAATCCTCCTCCAGCTCCTAACCTATCCTATTATCTCTAGGTATATAGAATCCTCCTCCAGCTCCTAACCTATCCTGTTATCTCTAGACATGTAGAATCCTTCTCCAGCTCCTAACCTATCCTATTATCTCTAGACATGTAGAATCCTGTCTGAATTTCCCTCCGGCTCCGCATGCTCAATATCTTTACCGAACCTGGGCGGAGACAAGTCTCAGGGAGGGAAAAGAAGATGAGGCTATCAAGCATTTTATTCTCATGCAGGTACCAAATTCACACCCTGTTTTCAAAGAAGTAAAAAATAAATAATATTTCAATAAAGGGTTGTTATTTATGTTCTTATTCTGAATAACCATTTACGCGTTCGTAGTTAAGATGTTTAACAATATGTTTTCTAGGCTCTAACCTTTAAACACCAGTTCCTAATCCAGCAGCGGAAACGACAGATTAAAACAACCTCCGATTTCTACAGAGGGAAAACCTCGGAGGAGAAGTCTGCCATCGAAATCATTGAGGACGCGGAGAACCAGATCAGGATGATGATGTTTGCTAAGGATGAGACTATTGAGAATATTCTAAAAACTCTTCCTGAAACCTGGACCATTGTTCAGATCAGTACCATCAACAGTTATGCCTTCTCCAGGTTCAAACAAACACAGAAGGATTCATCTCTGAAGGAGGGGAACCCAAACCTTTGCTTTATCCGACTGAGTAATGATGGAACTCCAGGACAGATTAGAACTGTTGTGAGTAAGGATAAATCCTGTGTTGTGCCTTACCTACAGGAGATACAGAGTATACTTAAGGTAAAAAATTCTCCATTCTGTGAAATAAGTCCCCATGATCAAGCTTCGAGAGTAAATACCTTTATTTTTTTTAAACTGTATTAGGGATATTTATCTTTCGAAATGGGGGGATTCAAATTTCATTTTATTGTATTTATAGCTCCATTTTAGCTTTTGAAAAAAACTTCATATTTACTTGCAAAAAGAAGATCTTCGCTTTTGAATTAGTTGATATTTCTGTCAAATTTTTACGTAATGTTTTCCAGGAGCAAGTTCTGCTATTGAAAGAGCCTGGGACTGATAGGAAAAAATATTGGAATCTTAGGGAAGTACTAAATCAGAGAATGCTTGCACTAGGTGACAAAAATTATTTTTTATATAGCATGACCTGAATTCGTTTCATTTTTTCGTCTGTCAACCTTTTTTAAAAAGTCTTCATTTTGATTTTAGCATTTTTTATTATTGGGTTTGATGATCATTGTATCGTTAGAACTGAAAAGGGTCAATTAAAAAAAGTGGAACTGGAACCTACTTTATTTAATCAAGAAGGTTTGGATCATCCTCAACAAATTTCAAATATGTTTATTTAAATATTTCAATGGAATTGTTCTTTATACTTTTGACAATCTAGACTTTTTGTTTTTTTAGTCAAATCTGTGGAAACAGCTTGGGTTGGATCTTCAAAAGGAACCCTACTTGGAAAACTAAAGAACACATCAGCTCTCAATATTCTCTCCGAGATATCCCAGGAGGTATTGGATCTTCTAAACATCAAGGTTGGGTTTGCGGAGCAGAGTAAACTCAATATTCTCCTCTCCGGGTCTGGGTTTTTAACCTTGGAGCAGGTTTTCACGGAGTTGATGTTAATGTTCCCCAGGGCGGATGAGGATTCATTATACAACGCTGCTACCTTGATCCATGGATACTCTGAGACTAAACTAAACTTGAACTCCGAGCCCAGGGAACCCGTGATACTCATCCTGGATCCAGAGATACAATCCCTGCCCTGGGAGAGCTTACCCTGCATGAGAGATTCTAAACAACCTGTGTCAAGGATTGCGTCTTTACAGTTTCTCTCCTGTCTCTGGCAGGTTCATAAATCCTCTAGATCTAGCGTGGTTCAAACCGGACTAGATGCTGACTCAGTTTTCTATATGATAAATCCGGATAAATCCCTCCCTAAAACACAGGTTTGATATCTATTCTAATTATTTATTAATTAATAAAAAAGAGCCTCATTTGCCATCTAAGTGACTATAGAAAAAGCAATTGGCACGACCAGTCATGAAATCAAAAGTATTTCTGTTCACTGAAATGTTAACTCAAACATTCATGAAGCTTCTTTCTTTAGGAAAGACTGGAGAGCGTGGTTAACAGTTTCCAGGAGTGGGAAGGATTAGCAGGACGAGCTCCTGAACCTGGACAACTAGCCAAGGCTCTTGGACAGAAGGACGCATATGTTTACTCCGGACACGGGGACGGAACTAGATATATTACAAACTCGGAGATAGAAAAATTAAAAATCCGCGGAGTGTCATTGTTGTTAGGCTGTAGTTCTGGGGAACTGAAACGGGCAGGAAGAAACACAGATCCTCATGGAGTGGTTCAATCATACCTGTTTGGAACCTCGCCGGCAGTCGTGGGCTTTCTCTGGCCGGTCACAGACGCAGATGTTGACAAGTGGACAATAGAGTTTCTGGAATACTGGCTGACAGGCAAGGAGGAGAACCTACTGCAAGCTATTGCTGACAAGAGAAATAGCTTCAAATATTTTGTCAATTCAGCAGCACTAGTAGTCTATGGTCTGCCCGTAGCTGTCAAGTCAAAGAAATAAGCTTGATATTTTACTAGTACCTGGTTGCATATCTAATTTAAATGAATCTATATATTTTTATAATTTACAGATAAATAATGGTGAAGAATAAGTATTCCGTTCTTCTTCCAACCTACAACGAGAGAGAAAACCTTCCCATTATCGTGTGGTTACTCGTCAAGTACTTTACCGAGGCTGAGATTGATTATGAGATTATCGTGATTGATGACGGTTCTCCAGACGGAACTCTAGAGGCAGGGAAGCAGCTTGAAAAGATATACGGAGCTGATAAGATCGTTCTTCGTCCCAGGGAGAAAAAATTGGGATTAGGTAGTTAAATTCTCTATTTAATGTTTAATTTATTATTTTCATAATCATTCAGGATCTTCCTATCTACTATAAGTTCGCCCCCCTATGCTCTTAATACGTCTCATTTTCTCTTAATCCGTCTCATCTGATCTTGATCTGTCTCATCTGCTCTTTATCCGTCTAATCTACTCTTAATCTGTCTTATCTGCTCTTAATCTATCTTATCTACTCTTAATCCGACTTCATCTACTCTTATTCTGTCTCATCTGCTTTTAGCCCGTCTCATCTACTCTTAATCCATCTTATCTACTCTTAATCCGTTCTCATCTACTCTTAACCTGTCTCACCTGCTTTTAATCTGTCTCATCTATTCTATCCGTCTCATCTACTCTTAATATATATCATCTGCTCTTAAGTTGTCTCAACTATTCTATCTGTCTAATCTACTCTTAATCTGTCTCATCTATTCTATCCATCTCATCTACTTTTAATCTGTATCATCTGCTCTTAAGTTGTCTCATCTATTCTATATGTCTAATCTACTCTTAATCCGTCTTATCTACTCTTTAACCGTATCATCTACTCTTAATCCGTCTCTTCTACTCTTAATCCGTCTCTTCTACTCTTAATCCGTTTTTTAATTCTGATTTGTATTTGTTAGGGACTGCATATATACACGGGATGAAGCATGCTACGGGCAACTATATCTTTATAATGGATGCTGATCTATCTCATCATCCCAAGTTTATTCCAGAGTTTATCAAGACACAGAAGGAGGGGAACTATGACGTTGGTAAGTGTTGAAGACACAACTAGAACTTAAAATCCTAAGCAAGAGTGTCTGGAGCAATAATATAGCAGCAAAATCAATTTATGAATAAGTTTCAAAGTGTTTTTAGTAGAAATCTAACATTTTAATTGTCTATATTTAGTATATTTATAACATTCAACAATCGACAAACCTGCTGAGATAGCAGATATCAAATTCCAGAAATCTTGCAAGGGATACTTCCTTGCAACAAACCAGAAATATCAGACAGACATTATAAAGAAGCAGAGATAAACAGAATTCTGAACCAATGAATAGATAAGAAGAATGTATTTTAATACCAATTATTTTGAAAATATCAGAGATAAATGTTGAGGTGCTGTTTCCCACTTCGGGTTTTTCGGGGTCCTGCTTATCCCCCTCCTCTCCCACCCAGAGGGGAGGTTCCGGGGCTCAAAGAATTTCAAAAATACTTAGATAGCAGATATCAAATTCCAGAAATCTTGCAAGGGATACTTCCTTGCAACAAACCAGAAATATCAGACAGACATTAAAAAGAAGCAGAGATAAACAGAATTCTGAACCAATGAATAGATAAGAAGAATGTATTTTTAATACCAATTATTTTGAAAATATCAGAGATAAATGTTGAGGTGCTGTTTCCCACTTGGGGTTTTTCGGGGTCCTGCTTATCCCCCTCCTCTCCCACCCAGAGGGGAGGTTCCGGGGCCCAAATAATTCCAAAAATACTTTTCAAATAGTTTTGTAAGTATCGTTTATAAAAACCTTTATAAAATAAAAAAATGGAAATTGTTAACAAAAAAAAGTTTTTTATTTTAATTTTTAAACCCAAAGAGGAAAATCAGACTGTTCTAATCTTAAGAAATTGTTTTTCTTTTAAACCTCAGAAATGTGTGTTTGTTGGTTGCCTGTCTTGTTCAAACTGTCTGATTCCACTTTTAAATATTTTTATTATTATTATTAGATAAAGCAAATAATATATTCGTTCAAAATAATGTTTACTGCAAGAAATGAAGAATTTTCTCCTCCGTCTCCGTCTGAATAATAAACCTACATAGGACTGTTAGTCAGGGGTTATTGTTTCTTGAAAAATAATTCCCCCTCCCGGCCCTCTTTTTGAGAATAATTTTATCCCCAGAACTTGCTTTAGGGTTTTATTCGCTGAATTAGGGAAAATAAATGAATTTTAGGAGGAAAAGTATAATAAAGGTTGAATAAACTTGTCAGCTGATGTTTATTTTCATCAGAACATTGGGAATAATTCTTGAAAATATATAATATATATACCCCTGTTTGTAGTGTCTGGAACCAGATACTCAGGAGATGGCGGAGTCAACGGTTGGGATTTAAAGAGGAAAATTATCTCGAGAGGAGCTAACTACGTTACTCAGATACTTCTCAGGCCTGGAGCTTCAGATCTTACAGGATCATTCAGGTTCAACCTTCTCATCTAGAGATTTACCTTGATTCTGACCAATCAAACCTTCTCATCTAGAGATTTACCATTGATTCTGACCAATCAAACCTTCTCATCTAGAGATTTACCCTGATTATGACCAATCTATCGTTGGCAGTCGCAGTTCCTTGGGATTTATCTATATATATAAAGTAGTAATCTTTGTTTGTTTGTTTGTTTGTTTGTTTTGGTGTTAGGGTGTTTGTTTTTATATCCGAGCATAACTCAGGAACCCCTGGACCGATTTGCCTCAATTTGTATTGGGAAACCCTGTGGAACCACGGAAATGTTCTTAGCTTGGTTTCAAAGATCTTAGTTAAATAGTTTGTTTGTTTATAAAGAAAACGTATTCTTAGTTACAGTCACACGCTCGTGTTACAGACTGTTGTAGCCTATATCTGAAGTTGAGCTTAGTTGAATATAAAAATGGGGTTTTAGTTAAAAAATTAGTAAAATTCAATTCTGTCGGACGACTTATATTAAACCGCCAGGAAAGATGGGGACCGACTAAGTGCATTCTAAACAGATTAAAAATGTAAATGTTTTGATCTCAGGTTGTACAAGAAGGAAGTACTAGAGAAGCTGGTCGCCTCCTGTGTCTCCAAGGGCTACGTATTCCAGATGGAGATGGTTATAAGAGCTCGTCAGCTCGGATACACGATAGGTATTTTTATTATACGATGGTCATATATATTTTATAAGTCACCACCACTACCTACATCACTCTTTTTATTACCTTTTATTGTAACTTTGTATTGCAACTTTGGCAGGACCTTGGAAGAACACATGAGTTTTTAATTATAATAAATTCTACTCCTGGATTATTGTGAAAATAATCTAACTGTTTGTTCAGGTGAGGTTCCTATCTCCTTCGTGGATCGTGTTTACGGAGAGTCTAAACTCGGAGGAAACGAGATTATTGGATTCGTGAAGGGGCTTCTCTACCTCTTCGCTACTACATAGAAAACTCTTCGTTACTACATAGAAAACTCTTCGTTACTACATAGAAAACTCTTCGTTACTACATAGAAAACTCTTCGTCACTACATAGAAAACTCTTCGTTACTACATAGAAAACTCTTCGTTACTACATAGAAAACTCTTCGTTACTACATAGAAAACTCTTCGTCACTACATAGAAAACTCTTCGTTACTACATAGAAAACGTTCTTGGTTACTACAGGGTGTCCACTGTCCGTATAATTCTACCATTTTGAAACAGCTATTTCTCTGTCAATTTTTTGGAATTTTTACAATCTGTAAAAAGATTTGAGCAACTGTAATATGAACGTTTTGCAATATAACAAAATATCCGCAACATGTATTGCAGAAAGTACACAAATTCAGTTTTCCTGAACACCAGTATTTTGATAAAACATTTCACGCGCAGTTGCAGGTTTCTTTGGGTAGGTGGGTTAGATAAAAATAATTTTGCACAAAGATAGCCAAGGTCAAGAGCTACCTCAGAGTTACAGCAATGTGAAAATTGGCAAGATTGAAAGGACACCACCCTGTACATAGAAATCTCATCGCTACTAGATAGAAACCTCTGTACTCCATTTAACATGATCATTTCATAGACATAAAAACTTTATCTCCGACATGAAATGTTTATCTGCGACATGAAAACTTTTCTCTCCGACATGAAACCTTTCTCTTCGACATGAAACCTCTAGACTCCAGACAAAATGATCATCTTTCTGACATGAAACCTCTCTCATCTCTCTCCCCCACATAGCTCCTTAAAAAACACAAATTCTCTAATCAAAATCATCCCCAACCTCTATCCATTTTTTAGCATTAAACTTCTTCAGTCTGCAGTCCTACGTTTTTTTTGTTCATGTGAACTTTAGTTTTTTAATCTGATCTGCATTTCTCATTCTCCTCTTGATACTTTATTTTTTTTCTAAACCTTCTACAGGGGATCCTTTTAAATCCTGTCATAGTTTTGTTTTTATAACCCCTTTGCACCAAAATTTTAAAAAGTTGTTAATTAATGTATTGTTTTATTTTGCAAACTGTGATACAACTTAAATCTATTTATATGTCAAAGATTTTATATTTTTCATATTTCCAAAGTTTGAGTTTTAATATTTTCAGAATTAAAGGATGGATGTAATTAAGGAAGATATCTCCCGTATCAAGGTCCCAGGACCAACGGATAAAGTTTTTAAGGACGAATGTTTGTACAGTTTCGACAACCCGGTAAGAGCAATGATCTGTAGAATTTGAACTTACATCCATTCATACTTAAACTTTTTTTTCACTTCAAACTTTTATTGAGAAACAAAAATGGTACAGAATTGCGTAAAATCCATATATATATATATATGTAGGAATAATAACAATACACAAATATTTATTTACTTAAATTTTCCGATTTTTAAGTCAATTTTGAAATTTTACACAGTCCCGGATGTTTTTTTCTTATGAATATTTTTACGCCATCTTTTTAAATCAAAATTGACATGGATAAAAGAATTAAAAGATCTGTACTTTTAATTAACATTCCATTTAAAGTGCATGGGACATCCAAGATTCACAACGGTACCCTTTAAATCTTTAACTGATACTTGAGGACAGAGATCTCCGTAAATATGTAGTATATGCTGAGTAAAAAGCCGCAATATTGGAGTGTTCGCTAGCGCACTGTGTGAACTAAAATCGGATGACGTCACATTTGTTATTGGAAAATCTAGAATATTTCATATCTATCGCGGTATGTGAATATTTATATTCTGCCACTTCTAAACAGTATATATTGCTTTAAACTAGTAGATATAAATATTCTTTGAATATATAACATCTTGATAACAAAGTTATCAACAATTATAAGCGTTTCTGTAGATAAATAAGACACAGTTTGTTACCCTTGATTAGTCAAAGGGTACTGTTGTGAATCGAGAATGCCCCTCTTGAAAAAGAAAGGTCATTTGAAATTACGCTTACAGTTCCTTTAAAGAAATACTTTTTTACTGTCTGGTTAAAGTTAACGTCAAAAATTAATTCGAAATGAGATTTTTGATTCGCTTTAAATGATGCTTTGACTATTTGGCTCTCGGAAGTATTTTCCACGACGGATCAAATCAAATGACCACAGAACCGGCATTGTAAATAGATATATCTTTCAGCGTTCTACTGACAAACTCTTAATAATCCCTTTCATGGCAGTAATTAGTTGCATGTTAATGCACTGCACCCTGAGGGCGGTCTGGGGGTTCCATGTCGGGTTCCCTTTCAGATCTTATAATTATTCATTCATTTAATTAGTAAAGTAGTTCAAACTATTAATCTATATTTATTTTCAAAACCTGTTCTTAACTAATAATATTGTTCAGGAGTGTAAGACAGATCTCAACAGATTTCTTGGAATAGGAGAAAGGTATCTCGAGAAATACTCCAAGAGAACAGACAACAGAGTTTTTCTTCACATTAAGCGAACAAAAAAGGTAAAATTAGTTATCTAAAACCCAAAATATCACTTTTAATTAAACTAAACTTTAGGAAGTAGAAGATAAAGAAGTCCCTGAGAAGGTATCTCGCCTCGCTATAAATATGGAGGGAGGGTTCAGTACTGAAAACAAAGATTCCTGGGATGAAACTACAAGAATAGTTGTTTGGCCGAGTATGGCCAGTGTAGAGCTAAACAACCCTGATCTCCCTATGCAAGCAAACCTGTCTACTGCCGGGATACTCACCGCTATATCCGCCACTAAACAGGCTCAGGTTGATGCTGCTACTGGAACTTGGGACGGAGAAGCTCTGGTTGTGTCTAAACATGCGGAGACGTTAGTCCAGAACCCCAATCCTCCTGTAATTCCTTCAAGTGGATGGAAATGTGGGAAATGTGATCTAAACTCAAATCTGTGGCTGAATCTGACCGATGGTTCGGTTCTCTGTGGACGTAAAAATTTCGACGGCAGCGGTGGAAATAATCACGCGGTTGAACATTTTAAAAACAAAGATGGCGGAGGACCACTGGCGGTCAAGCTTGGCACAATCACCAGGGACGGGAAGGGTGACGTGTATAGTTACGACGAAGATGACATGGTTCTGGATCCATTCCTGGAGAAACATCTTTCTCACTTCGGTATTCAGATCGGATCTTGTGAGAAGACAGATAAGTCTATGGTTGAGCTTCAGATCGAGATGAATGAGAAGATTGGAGAATGGGCCGTCCTGACCGAGTCTGGGACCAAACTCCAGCCTGTCTGGGGACCCGGAAAAACGGGTTTCCACAACCTTGGAAATACTTGCTATCTTAACTCTCTACTACAAGTTATCTTTAATATCCCGGAGTTTGGAGAATGTTACAAGAACCCAACCTTCTTGGATAGATGTGATCTCCAGAACCCAGATTCTGATCTTAAACTTCAAATGTCGAAACTCTGCCACGGTCTTCTCTCCGGAGATTATTCCAAAGGAACGGAGGAAGTGAGTGAAAGTGTTCTACGCGATGAAGGTTCCCAACCTGGGATCAAACCTTTGATGTTCAAGAACCTGATTGGACGGGGACACGCTGAGTTCAGTAGCACCAGGCAGCAGGATGCTCAAGAGTTCTATCTCCATCTGATGACGCAATTGGAGAGATCTCATCACTCCCATCAAGTTCCATCTCCGAGTAATATCTTCAAGTTCTGTGTTGAAGATAGGACGGAGTGCGCGGGTCAGGTTCAGTACAAAACCAGACACGAATTCTTCCTGCCTTTCAATATCCCTCTTGAAGCTTCAACAAACCTCGCGGAGGTCGAGGCTTTTCAGGCGAGGAAGACTGAGGCTGAGGCCAAGGGAGAGAAGGTCCCACAGGAGGAGGAGGTTCGACATAAGATTAATTTCAGCTCCGTCCTTGAATCTTTCCTCGGAGAGAGTATTATTGACGATGTTTACTCTCCAGCTCTGGGTTGCAAGGCTCAAGGAAAGCAGACTGCAAGGTTGAAAACCTTCCCTGATTATCTTCTCATCTCTCTCTCCAAGTATCAGGTGGACAAGAGCTGGCAGCCTGTTAAACTTAACGTTGAGGTAAAGTCCATCCCCTCTCCTCAAAAGAATCCACCGGTAATAAAAACAATTATCTGTTTAACGTGAAAGGACAGACAGCAACCCTTCATTTAATCAGTGTTAAAAATATATTCATTTACGATGGTAACTTAGACAACCATTTTAAAATGTGGGATGAAAAGAAATCAACATTTAACTGTCTAGGTTGATATGCCTGAAGATTTGGACCTAAACCTACTAACCGGAGCTGGAGTTCAACCTGGAGAAGTTCTAATGCCGGAGCAGGTGAACGAACCGGTAGCTGAGGAGGTGTTTGTGAACGAGGAGGTTGTCAACCAGCTTATGGAAATGGGGTTCTCCCGTGAAGGATGTAAGAGAGCAGTTCATCATACCAAGAATGCCGGGGTGGACGCTGCAATGGCCTGGGTTATGGAGCATATGGCAGATCCAGACTTTAATACTCCGTTCCAGACCGGAGGAGGTAAGATCTTATTCTGTTCCAGAACTATGATAGGATTTTTTTCCGCTCAAGGCTGAAGTGATGATGTTACTTGTTTCAGACTGAATGATAGGATGGTTCAAGGTTATAATGCAAGGAAAGTTATTTTAGAGGTTTGTGCATCTTTTTTACTGCAGCGTACTGTCTCTGGGCGGTAATGTAAACACAAGACGGATGTCGAAGCCTGACTTGGGATCCATTTTTTACATAAAAAATCAATGAAATATTCTGGTCAATTATGTGATTTATCATAATTCTCAAATTAATGGTTTTAACTCCTCGGGTACTAAACGAACACTGATGCATCTATTCTTGTTTACAAATGCCGCCCAAAGAGAACTGGTTTCAATATGTACGCAGAGTATACGCAACTGCAATTAACTTGCATTATAATCTTGGGATGGTTGGGCGGTTTCAGACTGAAAGATAGTATGATCGATAGGTTTCAGGCTGAAAGACAGTTTGATAGATAGGGTTTAGACTAAAAGATAGGATTATCTTTAGACCAAAAGAATCATATTTTTTCTAGTATCACAGTTGACACTGGAAGTTTAGTCGGTTTCAGACTGAAGATAGGATAATTACTAATTATTAGTCGGACTCGGACTGAAAATAGAATTTATAATGGGTATGAAACTGAATAAGAGAATTTTTGATCGGAAGAAGCTATTAAGCGTAATTATGTTCTTAAACAGACCAGTCTCTTATCTACCAAATACCTATGTAATAATCCTGATAGATTAAAAATTGGCAAGAACTCTGCATTGCAGGTCTACTGCAGGAAAAAGTTGGCGTAACTTTATATTTCTGGACAGAAAGCACCCTGTAGAAAGTTGTGAAGATGTTGCATTAAAGGTTGGAGAACTGTTTGAAAACAATTAGTTCTGATTTACTCCAAACCCTGGTTTCTCCCGGCTCCGCCAATGAAGACAGAGAGAAAGGATTAACAAGAATGCAGTTCACTGATGCAGCAACTTCGATGCATGAACCCAGGCCGCACCATGAGATGGAAGTTTGGGAAAAATGACATTAAATTTAAATGATACAGTGGTAACCAGAAAACTGTAAAAGTATGGAAGTATTTCTGTTTCTTTTTGTTAAAAAATATCAATAGTCACATAATTACAAGTAATGATTGATTTTATTATTTCCCAAAAGTAAATGTGGTTCTTTTAATGAAAATGTTAAGTACATACAGTGATAACCAGAAAACTCTGGAATAGAAAGTCGACTTTTGCTCAATTGAAAACTAAGTGCAATGAACATGTGGCACAACATTATAAACAGATCCATTTCACTAAATAAGTGATTTAATAACTTAATAGTTGCTTTGTTACAACATCAAAGCACTTGAGTCTTGCTTTAATGTCATCTTTCTTTTCCACAGTTTTCTGGTAATCACTGTAATACTATGTTTGGTCATTATTTGACTAAAACACTGTTTGGTCAGTTTGAGACTAAAACACTATGTTTGGTCAGTTTGAGACTAAAACACTATGTTTGGTCAGTTTGAGACTAAAACACTATGTTTTGTCGCTATTAGACTAGAACACTATGTTTGGTCGCTATTAGACTAGAACAGATTGTTTGGTCGGGTTTAGACTGAAAAAGGGATATTGGTCTGTTAAAGACTAAAACACGTTGTTTGGTCGGTTTTAGACTAAAATATTAAGTTTGATTGGGTTCAGACAGAAAAAAGGATATTGGTCGGTTTCAGGTTGAAAATGTTTGTTTGTTGGTTTCAGACTGAAAAATATGATGATTGGTTGGGTTCAGTCTATGTCTGGTCGGTTTTAGACTAAAAAATCAAATGTTTGGTTGGTCTTAAAATAAAAAATTGGACGTTTGGTCTGTCTCAAACTATAAAATTGGATGTTTTTGGTTGGTTAGAGTAAAAATATAGAACACTTTTTTAGTTGTTATTTGGTTTCACACTAAACATCGTTAAGTTAGCCGTTCAATATTGAACAATTTAAATAAAATTTCCAAAGCAATCGTAGAACTTGTTGGGAATATTGGAATCTATCAATATTGCATACAGCCCCTTTACATGATGAATGTTCAGGGGTAAAGAGCAAGGATGTGATCGTATCTGACGAGAATATAATGATGGTGAGCTCCATGGGGTTTTCCACCGACATGGCCAGGACTGCGCTCAAGAAAACGGACAATAACGTGGAGCGCGCAATCGAGTGGATTTTCAGTCATCCTGACGGAGACACTGAACCCACCGCGGTAGAACCTTCTCCACGTGGAGATGAGAGGAATCAAGGACTCACAGACGGAGCGCCAAGGTTGGTTATTATTTCAAGGACAAGTGGAGAGATGGACTTTATATTATTCACGGGGANAGTTTGATAATAAATTAAAACACGATAAAAACATGTGTGCTGCTAGTCGAGATACAGGGGGAGGGAGTTGTGTTTTCAAATCCGTTGATCCTAATTCTGAATTCTTGAAAATCAAGTTTATTTCCAAGAATACACATTTGTTTATCCTACATCAACATTTAGATTTTTTAAGAGTTATTTTCAGCCAAATTTTTGTTTTGAGAGCGCTTGGATCTCTGTTTGTTATCTGATAATTGCGCAATTTGTTGAAAATATTTGTGTAAAACAATCCTTACATAACCCTGATGTTTGGGTAACCTTGAGCGAGCTCTAACCTTCTCATTGATTCTAATCTGACAGGATTTACTCCGAGTACACAAAATAACACTTTATACATGTGTTTTCACGACTATTAAGTACAAACTTCGGGCCAGGGTCGTTCAACTGTAGTCAGGATTCAAGCGGGGTAGGGGGGGGACTAGGATTGGCATTGTATATGCCCTCGTCTGTATGAGGACTAGTTTCAAAAACTAATATATTAATTTTGAAAAATCGGAAAATAACTTGATAAATTCAAGATCTTCTCTCTTTCTCTCCCAAGTTAAGATATTTCTGTTGTAAAATGTTTCATGAAATCACGTATTTATAACGTTAGTTCGTCAGTACAAGAAAATAGCCATTGTCATACAGACAACCATACAAATCTTACTCTTCGATTTTTGCAACCGCCATACTGGGAAAATGAAAATTAGAATTCCTTGGGTATGATTTTTATATTCCATTTATGTTGTGACACAAAACAGCTCATAATATTGTTTTTTTAATACATGATTTAAGGAGCTAGGGAAGGCAGGCGGCCATGAGCCACCACTATTTCCCCTTCCGTACCACCACATTTGACTCTTTCGGACAAAACTACTTTTTTAAATGGTATATTTATGGCCTTTAAAGTGCGATTTTTAAAAATCCAGCCGCGCCACGCAAAAAGCACAACTCAACCCATTTCAATTCTACTTAAGATTAATATTTTGTGTGTTTTTTTTTTGACAAATTTGACTGAGTATTGCATCTTGAAATATCACAAAGTCTAATGATTATTCAATTACTGACTCATTGTACTAAATCCATCTTAAAATCACTCATTAACCAACTTTAGATCGTAAATGCATTTTTATCCATCAGAGTGTATTTTTGTCTGAACGCACATTAGCATAATGCCTGTAATTTGACACTTTTCATGCAGTTAAAAATATCAAAATTGATATTTAAGCTGTTGCGGTTTTTATTTTTTATGTGCTGATGAAATTTAGTATTTACATCTAAAGTAAGCGCTCTAAAGTAAGTAAGCGCATTTTAAGGTTTTAAATGCTATTTCAAGATTTTTATGATACTTTAAAATTGCTTAAGTATAGATAATCTTATAAATTATTATAGAAATAAAGTCTAAGTGCGAGTAAGAAAGGGGATGGTGGAGTTGGCACATTTGATGTAGGGGGGGGGGGGCCCTGCCTTCATTTTTGGTTCAAATCTTCCAATTTTTTGGGTGCACGCCAATAACATTAAATTTAAATTATACAGTGGTAACCAGAAAACTGTAAAAGTATGGAAGTATTTCTGTTTCTTTTTGTTAAAAAATATCAATAGTCACTCCACCATGCTGAAATTAATTTTTGGACGTTGACGCACATTTAAAATTTAAATAACTCGATTTAGTCTAAACTCTTAACAAATTACAGGATGTTAACCCGTAAACAACTACAGGATGAGTGGTTTTATCCTCTTAAAATAGTTTACTCAATCTTTTATTTTGTTAGGTATTCTTTGCTGGGTTTTATCTCTCATATGGGCACCTCCCCTCACTCCGGGCACTATGTGTGCCACGTGAAAGACGAGAAGATGGGACGCTGGATCATCTTTAACGACAACAAGGTCGCTATCAGCGAGAAACCACCCAAAGAATTTGGATATCTGTACTTTTATAAACGAGTCAAATAAATCCCGTGTTATAATTGTGATTAAATAAATTATTTAACATGTTAAATTTATTTTAAGAGCCAGACATTATTTTTAAAGGTAAATAACTAAATGCAGTACGCTGATCTCATTCACTATTATGGTTACAGGAGAAGCTAAAGCAAATTTGTGGAATGATTACGTTTACTGGGTGCTTCCTCCGGCATCTTTAGCGATGTTGTCGTAATAATCAACATGATCGCCGGATTTGAAATTTTGTTTTCTAAGCAGAGCTATGAGAACTGCAGCGGAGTCGGCAGGTCGAAGCAATGATCCGTTCCTCTTCAGATCTTCAAACATCGTTCTCACAACTAAGTATAAAAAAATATTGTTTTATAATTTTACCAGCAAAATTAGGTCACAATAGGCCAAATTAATATTGTGGTGATTCATGCAGTAAATATTTAAACGTCGAACAAGTGTCCATAAATATAATAGATATTTATTAGAAGGACTATACACAACCCACCCTAAGGAATGAAATAAATTACTTAATATATCACTATTTTCTGCGTTCTAATAATCTACTAGACATTTAGAACGTTAGTGAATTGTCAAGGAGAAAAATGAGCAAGTTTTATTTTCTAGAAAATTTATTCTTTTTAGATTAAAACTAATTTAGTTAGGCTTAATAATAATATCAACTGTATCTAAATTTCTCATATAGCATAAATTCTGTGATTAGTGAGTCACTCTTGTGTTTGAATGTTAACAAACTTATTTTTAAAAAATTTGGCAAATGCCAGAAGCAAAGATATGTTTATCTTATTTTTAATATTTTTAAAGACTCGAATGCCCAACCTGGATCCGTCTTCTCATCCGCTAGTAGTTCCTCTATCATTGGTGTATCCAGGGGACCTGGAGCATAGTTGAGAACCTGGGAGTCAGGTTCCTCAACTGCCAGCACCCGGAATACTGCATCCCTGACAACAGAATATCCATCATTCAACACAAATATAAATATAATTCAAGTTTAATGACAACACTAGAAATAGTTCTGACAAGTTTGATCAATTCTTGGTAAAATAAAAAGGTCACTGAGAGGATAATAAATAAATATTCGGCCGGAAACTTGTAAACATTGTATTTTCAATAACAAGTTTCATAAACTTTGATTTTGAAGATGAAACGTGTGATTTGGGGTTATCTTTTAAAATGTTTGTTAGAACTCTCTGTATATAATTTATAAATCTCAGGACAAGGTCACTGATAACTATATTTTAACACATGCAGAGTGCAGAGTTCATGATATACTGTACTAGCTTGAAAATCCAGCTTAGCATTGAGTTTAGTCAATACCTCAAATTTTCATTTTAAACCAGGCTTAAACCATTCCCGTGCTTCTACGGAGTTCCTATTCCCTATTCAAAATTTGAGGCAAATCGTTTCAGGGTTCATGAGTAGTGCTAGGACATTCATACAAACAGAGATTTCTACCTTGAGATTCGTTCAGCCATTAATCTAGGTGTTTTTTTCTGATTATAAAGGGAATGTTGGCTAAAATCTAGATGGCGTAAATGGTACGCTGTAATAAAATTTAAAGAGGATTTTATATTATTTTCATTTATATCCGAGTGGTTTCAAATGAGAATGATATAAACCTGGTTATGCAGATGAGAAACTGCGTTTTTATTTCCTTCCAAGAAGATTCAGCCACTTGTCAAAAACATTGGAAAGGGAAAAAAATCGGCATGAATCGATCAATTATTATTAGTCAACACTCCAATTCATTTTCCAAGAACAATCCCTTAGAAAATAATTGCTCGTATTAACTTTTTTAGGCAACTAGCCTTATAGGGCGCTGCGCGCCCATCTTCTAAATTAATTGTGAACATGTTCTCTTTGTGTACATCGTAAAACAAAACAAAAATAATTCGCGGATTTTCACAAAAATTTCGTGGATTTTCAAAATTTTCAAAATTTAATGAAGATCGAATTTTGATCGAGACAAATATTTAAAATTTTGATGATTCATAAACCTTCCCTGGGGTCCCTAGATGTCCCACAAAAAATTTGGGCCCGATCGGTTCAGCCGTTTTGAGTTTATTGGATACAAACAAACAGACAAACAAACAAACAGATAGACAAGCCAAATTTATATGCAGAAGCTATTAAGCGTAATTATGTTCTTAAACAGACCAGTCTCTTATCTACCAAATACCTATGTAATAATCCTGATAGATTAAAAATTGATTTAGGATAAGGATACTGCTCCAGGTTAGTCTAGAATACAGAGGATACTGCTCCAGGTTAGTCTAGGATACAGAGGATACTGCTCCAGGTTAGTCTAGGATACAGAGGATACTGCTCCAGATATATTTATATATATATATTTATAAACAATTCTGTAATGATAATTATTTTTACCAAACAAAGTTTAGTTTGTAAAAAAGTTTACAGCCAACAAAAAGTATCGGTAAAGGCTTTATTAGAACCTACAATACAACTTTCCAATATTAGGAATTAAAGGAGTTAAGCCCGTTCAAGATAGAAGTGCACGAGAAGTAAAAATAAACAGATGGCTGAATTCTTTCACTAAATATATTCCGGTCTGTGATATACGTGGCACAGTCTGATATACAGTTTTAGATTTTATACAGTCAAGTTTAGGAGTCACAAAATTACAGGAATTTATCCGATATAAAATTTAAAACAAGTACTTTAGACCATTTCAATGATTTTCTTTAACTCCCAAAAAATGTTGATTTTTTTAACATTCAAGCAAACCCCCAAAAAGTTTGCTGGGCAAAAACAAACTACTTATTTTGGTATTTGAATTAAAGTAATAAGGTTGTTAAAACTAGGGTCAATGAACTATTGTTAACAAATTAAAGAATGAGAGTGATTATTATTTGTATATGAAATTATAATATCAAGAGGCGTAACTAACTCTCCCCCTCCCCTCCTTCAGATTGAAAAAGGGGAATTTTAACGTGAAAACACGGTTAATCAAAAGTATAGCTTTAACATTTAGTTAAAAGAAATAGCTTAAAAACAACCAATTAGAAAAAATCTTACACAAACTTAATATTGCGTAGATAAAATTTCTGCGACAGAATTCAAGCATATTCTATCTAGTAAATTTTAGACTTTCAAAATACACCACAATTTACAAGATTTTGAATAGAGCTCTTTCTTTGAAGTAAATAAAATTATGCCAATCCTATTTATAAGGTAGTAATCTCTTTTTCTGATCATAACTCGTGAACCTTGACCGATCAAGTTTTGATTGAGGAAACTTAGAAGAGTTTAGCGTAAGTTGAGTGGGTTGACTTTTTACGGAAAGTAAAATTTCCAGACAAAGGTTGGGTTCCAAGATGGTATTTAAAAGAACCATTTTCTCATTATCTCATGGGTAAACCAAAACTATCTTTTAAGGAGGAGCAAGGGGGGGGGAAGGGTGGTTGTACAGATAGTCTTGTCAACTGTTTCGGATCGTTTTTATAAAAATATAATTTAGCTTCTAAGATTTCAAAACTATTATGTTAAAGTTTGCTGTTATTACATATTACAATTTGCAATAACTTTATACTAAAAATAAAACTAGAAAATTAATCCAAGAACGCGTTACAACACGTTAGCTTTTTCATAGTTTCTTGGGTCTTTTATTGCATATATCTCATCAGGTTCAAAATTTGACAATTGTAAGAAAAGCAAATTTACCTTGCTGCCTTGCCCCCGCAGTAGTTCCCCCAGGTGGTGAGGGGCTGGAGGGCGAGTATACTCGAGATATTGATGTAAACCATCTTGGAGCGTGTGAAGCAGGATTTAAACACAGAGTTTAGACAGATTACATGGAAGAGATTCAGCTGGTAATATACAGACATCTCAGATATATCTGTTAGATCCTACAAATACAGATGATATATTATTTCTAAATATCATTTATTGAATTGATGTAATTTGATTTATTACCGTTATCTTTCTACCATCTTGACCCAGAGTTCCAGCGTTGTGGATAACGATAGCGACTTCGTGATCCGCGCTCCCATAGTTGGCTCGAACCACATTGGTGAACGTGGTCTTGTCGGCGGTCGCCAGATCAATCGACTCCAGTTCAACCGCCAATCCTGGACGGGCGTCTCGGACTATCTCCTTGGTTGTCTCCAGGTCTGCCCTATTCCTGGAGACCAGGAGAAGAGTAGAACCTGCTCCGACTACCTTTCCAAGCTCCAGAGCTACAGCTCGACCAAACCCACGGCTAGCACCTGTTATCATGACAAAAGATCTGACTCCGATAATGTCCTTAACGGTAGACATGTTTATATACTATAGTAATATCACACGAAGGTTAACTTATAAAATGTTCGGGACTAATTTAACAACTCATCTTCTTCTATACTCTCGGAGAAGGTTTTATCTAGCACGTCGGAGTCAACCAGAGGAATTGTTTCTCCGACAGTGAGAGGTTGCTGAGGAACTAGTTGACGGAGAACTTGGTTTGTATCAACCGCCTGGTCGAGATTGATGTCGGATTCGCTGAGTATTCCTAGTAATTGTTTACTCTCAGATCTGAGTAGGTTTCCTAGAATATCTTCCTTCTTCTCTTCAAATCCTTTCTGACCTTTCCTCTTCTCCAAGTTTTTCAATTTATTTTCTAAAATCTTTAGATATTCATCAGAATCTGGGAGCTTGGCAAATCCTTGATCATTTTCATTCAGGATATTGCTGTCAATAAATGAGTCAGTAAAATGGTTGATTAATGTATTGGTTTGGCTGAGTTCAGTTGAACTAGAGTTATTCCAAGGATCCATTGAACTTGTATATTCCTCTAACAATCATAATCTCCTGATTGGAACGTCAGGAAGCAACTATGGCCTGTAATTCTGCCTAGGAAACTTTAAAGATCTTGATGAACTGGGCGTAGCTTTAACTGGTCTCAGTCAATCTAAGGGAAACTAGGCGGAAGACCGTGCCGGTAGATTCAGTCAGCCGGGTCGGTACTGACACTAGGTCGGACCGGTACAATTGGTCGACCCGGTCCGGATTAAAATCAATAAAACCGGTTTATAATATCCGCCGTGTTGGATCAACATTTCCAAGCAGACAGTTTATAGAGTGTATACTTTTCTCTACCTGCTGACAAATATACATCTAACTTTTACATTTAAACATTTGTAACGTATATTTTACGATGAAGTTTCTTTAAAAATCCAAAATTTGCAAAATTTTAGATATTAAAAGAAGAATCTAACATTTAAATTGTTCCAAACCACTTAACATTGGTTAAATTATGAAATTGCGAACAATTCAAATTCTATTCTATCCTTTTTTTCTTTCATAAAGAATGCCTGAGGAGGAAGTGATGCAAGACGTTGAAGGAGTTGTAGGGGAGGAGGAGGAGAAGGAAGAAAGCAAGATATTGAACCTGAAGGTCCTCGCTGTTATCAGAGAAGCTCAGCAGAAACATGGACTCCGTCACGCAGATTATCAGAGATACAGAGGATACTGCTCCAGGTTAGTAAAGGATAAAGAGGGTACTGCTCCAGGTTAGTCCAGGATACAGAGGATACTGCTCCAGGTTAGTCCAGGATACAGAGGATACTGCTCCAGGTTATTACAGGATACATTGGATACTGCTCCAGGTTAGTCCAGGATACAGAGGATAGTGCTCCAGGTTAATCCAGGATACAGAGGATACTGCTCCAGGTTATTCCAGGATAAAGAGGATACTGTTCCAGGTTAGTCCAGGAAGCAGAGGATACTTGTCCAGGTTAGTCCAGGAAATAGAGGATACTGCTCCAGGTTAATCCAGGATACAGAGGATACTGCTTCAGGTTAGTCCAGGATACAGAGGATACTACTCCAGGTTAGTCCAGGATAAAGAGGATAGTGCTCCAGGTTAGTCCAGGATACAGAGGATACTACTTCAGGTTAGTCAAGATATAATGGATACTGCTCCAGGTTAGTTCAGGATACAGAGGATACTGCGCCAGGTTAGTCCAGGATACAGAGAATACTGCTCCAGGTTAGTCCAGGATATAGAAGATGCTGCTTCAAGTTGGTCCAGAATACAGAGGATACTGCTTCAGATTAGTCAAGATACAGAGGATACTGCTCCAGGTAAGTCGAGATACAGTGGATACTGCTCTATGTTAGTCCAGGATTATTCCCCTGCTCAGTAATGGATACAGGTTAGTCCAGGATATAGAGTATGCTGCTTCAAGTTGGTCCAGAATACAGAGGATACTGCTTCAGATTAGTCAAGATACAGAGGATACTGCTTCAGATTAGTCAAGATACAGAGAATATTGCTCCAGGTAAGTCGAGATACAGTGGATACTGCTCTATGTTATTCCAGGATTATTCCCCTGCTCAGTCATGGATACAGTGAATTCTGCGGCAGGTAAGTCCAAGTTACAGAGGATACATCTCTACAGGTTAGTCCAATGCTCAGAGGATACTTAGTCTATGTATTCTGCTCCAGGTAAGTCCAGGATACATAGATTACTGCTCCTAAACAGTTTAGGATAAAGAGGATACTGCTCCAGGTTAGTCTAGAATACAGAGGATACTGCTCCAGGTTAGTCTAGGATACAGAGGATACTGCTCCAGGTTAGTCAATACAGAGAATACAGCTCCAGGTTATTCCAAGATAGAGAGGATATTACTCCAGGTCAGTACAGGATATAGAGGACACTGATTTTTGCTTAGTTTAGGTAATTGATACTGCTTCAGACTAGTTTAAAATACTAAATGTATTAAAAATATCCTGTAAGTATGCTGAAATACATCAATATTCAATAATATTATGTAGGAGTGCACGTCTAACATTAGTTTTATTAAGGAGAATTAGACGACTCAGAAAGGCAATGGGGTTGATTCAAGGAGAAAAGAAAAAGTTCAACAAGAAGGATGTTACTGAATCTCTTCTCAAGGACGCCAAGCATCTCCATATTCCCCTCGTGACGGCGGAGCGAGCCTGGGCGTATTATATGCAACTTAAGTTCGAGGCGAATGCCGAGCCGAGGAAGAAATTCCACATGATAAATCGTTTGCGCAAAGCAAGAAAATACGCCGAGCAACTTGACGCAATTTGTGCAGATTCCTCTCTGGTTGACGCTAGAACTAAACTGGAAACAAAGGCGTATCACTGCTGGTTGACCGGAACTCTATACTTTGAGACCTCCAGGTGGGCTGAAGCTCAAGGGATGCTGACTCAGGCTAAAACCATTTATGATTCGTTGAGCCAGGCGGTGGGAGAGGAGGAGGGAAGTCTCTTCAAGCAGAAGATGGATGAAATTACTCCAAGTCTTAGATATTGCGCTTACAACATTGGAGATACTAGTGCCAAGGAGGATTTGATATCCATGAGAGGAGGAACGGTTGGAATGGAGTTGGATACTCTAATATCTCAAACCCGAGAGCAGCAGGCTGCAACCCTGCAGGATGTTGAGTGGCGAGGACGGAAGATGGCGGTGAAACAGGAGAAGGTTCGGATCTTCCTTCTCTCCTACCAGGAGAGCGATGAGGAGCTGACGAAGGCTCGGGATTCAGGAGCAAAGCTTGCAGTTTATGAGGATCTTCTTCTGCAGTGTAAGGATGCGCTTCAAGCTCTCCGTGAAGATCTAGTTGAAGATCCCGAGTTTAGAACCAGACAGCAGCAGAGCTCTGGCAAGGTTGGGTCTCAGCATTTTCTCTATACATATCTCCAGTATACAAGGCACAGTATAACCTTAAGTAGGAACTCAGTTCTCCTGGAGTCTATGAGGGCTCAGCTGGAAGGACGGGAGAAACCAACTGACGGAAAGAAGATTGTAAAGCCCCAGGATGTTGTGAGGATGTACGAGAATATTATCCAGAGTTTGAACGAGATCACTACCCTGGCTGGGTTGGAGGAGGATGAGACGATGAAGCAGAGCAACCAGCTCAAGATCACCTACTATCGTGCCTTTAGATCGTTTTACATGGCTAAAGCTTTCATTTTTGCTCAAAAATGGGCGGAAGCTATGGCGATCTTTCAGAAAACTCAAGAATACATTTCCAAGGTAAAGAAATTTAACACTTGCCTTAAACTATTGTCAGCTCCTATATACCTTAGCAAACTTACGTCGTATATCCTTGATAATTGAATTTTAAATTCTACACTATCAAATTCTCAAATATCAAAGGTTTACACAATCAGGTTACAAAGATACAAGAATTAGAAAATTAAAGTTTCCTATAACAGACGTAATAATATGCATTATGCACTCATGTGATGGGTAAGAACTCCATTTCAAAGAAATCTATATTTTTTTATTTATCTAGACTAAGACGGACAAGAGTTTGGAGAAAGATCAGGTTCAGCTCCTGGCCGTCCTGGAGAAACTAGTTGAAGAAAACCAGTTTGTAGCTCATGCAAACTCAATCCTTGAAACTGAAGAGATTACAGATAAGGTTGGAATTAAAAATTACCCTTCTGGATTTTATAATTCTAGGCTTTTAAGGCGCCTCACTTCGCGCCATCTACTATTTCAACTTTTAACTTTGTGAGCATCTTCTCTTTGTATAATATAAAAAACAATAACATTAAAAGCTCGCGGATTTAATATTTTTTCGTGGATTTTTTAAATTTTACAAAAATCTAACATTTTTCGAGACAAATTTTTGTAATTTTGAGCACACAAGTTGTCGGTTTGCCGTTTTTGCGTTTATTGAATACAAAAAAACAGAAACAGACAGACAAGCAAAATATATATATATATATATATATATATTTAGATTTCAAAAGTATATTTTTTTCTCTCAACCTTATCTTGTTACTTTCATCCTGCCATCATGATATTCTATATTTTCATATTTTCTGATTCCTGTCATTTTTATATCCCGGGGTCAGATTATAGATAATACCACTTTCATTCCATCTTCCTTCATCAAAGTAAAGAATAAAGGGGTGACTTTTTCCTTTAAAAACATATAGGTGTCGTTTTCGATAGTTTATTTGAGAAATTTAAATTTTCCTTGTCATGTTTTTGTTACTTGAATAAACTCAATTAGGTTTGTTGTGGGATATTAGATTACTTTTCTAACAGACATTTTTGATGAAAACTGAAGAAATGCTGAATGTGGGTTCTGAAATTTTCCTTGTCTTGTTTCTCTAGGTTGCAGAGTTGGACGTGAACACGAAGGTTCCTCTCATAGATCGATTGGATCAGTACTATGAGGTATACCCGGAGAACTTCTGGATTTTCATCCTCGATCCTTTTATTTTTATAATGTACAATCTTTGTCATGTTTTCATTCATTATTATGATTGACAATCTTTGTCATGTTTTCATTCATTATTATGATTGACAATCTTTATCATGTTTTTGTTCATTATTCTGATTGACAATCTTGATATATATTTCTGTATATATTGATTTATGTTTCAAATCTGTTTTTTATTCGAAATCTTGTTTTCAGGATCCTGATGTCGCAAAGGGAAAATCCGCGTTGGTGCATTTCCCACCCGAGTTCGAATCCATCCCTTGTAAACCCTTGTTCTTCGATCTTGCGATCAACCACCTCGAGATGCCGGCCTTGGAGTCCAAGATTGGAGGACAAGAAGACGGCCAGAAGGCCGGGCTCGGAGGCTGGCTCTTTGGTTGGGGAAATAAATAATTGTTTTGTTATAATAAAATTTGATTAATCCATGGTTCAGGCTTTTATTATTGTTTTTCAGAAGTGAAAATGTCGACAGACGGAGGTCAATATTTGGATTATAGGTATAGACAGAGCTGGGTATTATACTAAGGCGCAACTTGGATATTTTGTAAAGGAAGGGTTGATTTAAATTAAGAATTTTTTAATAAAATCGTAGAATTTCGATTTTTAAGTAAAGGTCACGTCATTGGCAATTTGGTGGTATTGCGCCTCTTCATCGTATAATTATTTAAATCGTCTTTCCCAAATCCCTTTTCTGTTAAATCTTCAAGTTGTAGACTCGTATAAAAAGTACTTCAAATGTTGGGGGGGAGATAATTTGTAAAATTATTAATTGGATTTTTTTTTGGGAATATACTATTTGGTTTCTTTACTACCCAAACATAAATAATTACTTTGAAAGAAATGTAATAATAATGGTGACTCAATTCTCCCAATAAACATGGGAATTGAAAGACGACTTGAAAGTCATCTTTGGTTCCTGATACTTAAAGCAAGGCAAAGACAGTACAAAAACGAGGCTTTTCGTCTTACGAGCTTTTCATTAAGTGTTCTACCTTTATTGTTTCTTAAAAACTGTTTAATATTAAGATAATATTTAATTATTTAATAAATTGAAATTTTACAATATTTACGTCAATTTTGAAAAAAGAAAAAGTAGACAACAATTTGAAAATAGAAGACGATATACTGCTCCAGGTTAGTCCAGGNCCCCCTCCTTTAAAGTCTAATAATCGTTGAGATGACGTCTTGTTAACTAGATATTGAATACTTAGATAAGAAGAAAAGATAAAACAATTTTGAACAAAATAAATAAGATTTTAAATTATAGTACTAGGTTTGTATTTATACAGATATATTTTAAATCATAGTACTAGGCTTGTATTTATACAGATATATTTTAAATTTAAACAAACTAAAAATAGAAATTGAAGAAACAAGTAAGAGTTAAAAGCTTGAAGACAAAAATAGATAAAAAGTAAAAGGTAGTAATAAAGAGATTAAGATAAATGGTTGAATTTTAGTGGTTGATGAAATTAAATAATAAAACAATTAGGATTCATTAACTGTTATTTATGAGTACTGCAGTTTCTTTGAGGAATATTAACAGTTTAATTTTTGTATGAATGTAGTTCAGTGTACGGTGTATGTTTGTATACAAAAATTTGTATTTGTTTGAAAAATAAGAAGTACAAATACAGACGCGAAGCGTCCCTGAGACCAATTTACTTTTTATACAATATTTGCCCCTGAGGTCCCTGAGGGCTTCTTAAAGTTTTACCTCCACACTAAACAGTGCACACTGTAAATGTTTAAATGCAAATTGTTGAATAGTTTTGTGAGACCAGGCTTTTGTAAAATAATGGAATTCTCATGTTATTTTAATATTATATAAGATTTATAAAAAAAATTAAGTTTAGGAGAATGAGAAAGATTGAAAAAGAAAAAAAGATACATAAAAAGATAAAAATCGAAAAGTCAAAGAATTTAGAAGAACTTACGAATTATAAAAAATAAATAAAAATACATTAAAAAATCAAATGATAACAATAGAAGAATACGAAAAAGAAAGCGAGCAATATTTTAAGAAAAGAATTTAGATCAAAGGAGTATAAGAATAGAAAAATATTATGATGTTTAATACTATATAGATTCACTGTTTTAATAATTTATTTTTCCTATTAATCTTAAAAATGTTGAAATATAGATTATTTAAAATAAGATCGGTAAATCTTTCACCAAACTCTACTAACGGAATTACCACTTTTCCCAAGTTGCTCCAAAAACAGTTGGTCCATGATCTGGATCCGGATCCAATTTTTTTCAGGGCGGATCCAGAATCAAAATGAAATGGACCCTGAGCACTGGTTGAAACTTTAAATATAAAACCTCTTGTATTAGGGATGGAGGATGGAGGGGTAGAGGAGGAGATGGAAGTGGTAGAGGTCGGGGTGGAGGAGGTAGAGGACGAGGAGGTGGAGGACGTGGTGGTGGAGGACGTGGTGGTGGAGGACGTGGTGGTGGAGGACGAGGAGGTGGAGGACGAGGAGGAGATGGGCGAGGAGGTGATGGACGAGGAGGTATTCCTCCCGGATTACGAGGACGTGAAATAGGAATGTACTTTGCAAAGAAATCCCGGGAGAAGCAGAAGAGAGAGAGAACAGAAGCTCATCTACCCAAGGATAAACTCCACTACCTCGAGAGGGAGCTGGAGAAGGCACTTTCTGCTCAGGTAAATATTTTTTTTAATAAATGAATCGATTAGTTCTAACACTTTCGGATTACTTTTATGCTAATCAGTTCTTTTGAGGAAAATACGAGTTTTTAGATTTAAAACAAAAAATTGAAGAATCTGGGACCAAACTTAATGAAGGAAGAGAAGACGTTAAACTACATGTTAAACCATCTTCTCTTCTCTTGAACTTAAACCGGCGAATAGAAGAAGTGGTTCAACATAGTTTACGTAGTTCAACTAATTCTGGCTCTTGAATAAATTTGTTCCTTGGTTTACTAGCAAACAAACAGTAAAATCTTCATTACAAAAACAAATCTCAAGGATTTAGAATGTGGAATTAACGCCTGTTTTATTTACTCTTGGCAGTTTGGATCATCATTAAAGCCAAATTTTAAACACTGAAAGATTGGCAAAAATATTTTTAAAAGAAACTGGATAACTAACTTAAGTCTTTTCTTCTAGAGTGCGATTACGGGAAAATCTGATCATCTTCAAAAATTGAAAAATAATATCAGAGGTACAAGTTTTATTTCTTATACATTATTGATTTTTTTTAAATTATTGGTGATCAATAAGTTGTAATTGGTGATCAGTTTAAATATTGAGAATGATTTTTTAAATTTGGTAGCTTTACATTTGTACTAATACTGCAGTTTTATACATGGGCCATTCTGTTTATTGAGAATGATTTTTTAAATTTGGTAGCTTTACATTTGTACTAATACTGCAGTTTTATACATGGGCCATTCTGTTTCATACATGGGCCATTCTGTTTTATACATGGTCCATTCTGTTTTATAGACTAATTGGAAAACTTTTTTATGGCAAATTGAGTATAACTGGAAATCCAAAAGAAAAAAGAATGAAAAATATAAATTAATTTAAGAAATTGTTTAAAATATCAATTTGTTTATTTTTGAATTGTAGGGAATGCTATGATGGATGAATTGAACAGTTTAGAGAAGAAACCTCGGTTGGATCTCAAGGATAATATGGAAATCATGTCGAGCAAGGTTTTGAATTCAATTATTTGTTTATGTATGAGATCATTATTTTTAAATGCGTTGAACTGTTTTTGGGTTTATAATTTAGTCTGTTCTGTAAAAAAACAAAATTGTCAAATAGCTAATTTATTTTGCTTCTCTTTAAAACTTTCCTGCAATTTAAAATATTTTAGCAGAGGACTTTTTTGCTATGAAGTCTTAGTTCATATCCGAAGCGTTTTGATTTGATTTTACTGTTATCGATAAAACATTTAAGATTTGATTTGATTTACTTACTTGCTTGTTTACTTGATGTATTATTCCCAGAGCTCCAGGTAGGAACATGAGGGGAATTTCTGTAGTATCATCTGGAGTTGTGATCCGGTCATCTTATAGAGGTCACGTTGTAGGGTCTTAGCTCACTCCTCCTGGCACAAGCATAAAGTTTAAAAGTCTGTCAAATCGAGCAATTTTTTAAATGATTTCAGTGTCCTAGCTTCCTTTACTTCTGTTGGGAGTCCATTCCATGAATTAACAACTTTATTGGAGAAAAAATTATGTCTCATATCAGTCCTAGATCTGATTTGATATTTGATTTGATTTGATTTGATTTGATTTGATTTGATTTGATTTGATTTGATTTGATTTGATTTGATTTGATTTGATTTGATTTGACAAGACAAAAAAGGAGATATGAATTTGAAAATAAATTTTTTGATTGCCATATAGGTCATTTCTCCCTAATATTTAGAAAACTAAGAAAATCCTGTTTATAGGACGATTATCTACTCCGTGACCTGCTGGATGCTGAATCCAACGAGATCATGGAAATCAAAAAACGTCCAAAGAATCTGGATCAGTTTAGGAAAACCCTTCCGGCCGCCGAGAAGAGAGATTATATTATTGGTAACTTACAGGGAGTATTCGTGATAAAAGACAATGTGTATCTGGTATTTTTCGGATTTTGAGCATACTGTTCAGATTAACTTTAAAAAATTGTTCAAAACATCGAGACAACCCTTTTTAAAAGATCCCAATATCGATATTTTTCATGGACTATTTTTTAATACCTCTAATTTTCTTCTATGCATATTTTTTCTAACGTTTTTTTTTCTTCTAGATTTAGTTAGAAAGCATCAAGTTACAGTTATAACTGGAGAAACGGGATGTGGGAAAACTACCCAGGAGAGAAACATAAACTTGTAAATATTTAAACTTTGTTTTTTTTTTACTGTTGAAACAATTTTTAAGATCCACTCAAGTAACTCTTATTTTAAGAGTGCCATAAACGATTAACCTCTGTATCCTGTAAAAAAAAGGGTAGAAATCATTCTCACCTGTCTGGACAAATTTACGCAATTTTCTTGCATGTCTTTGCTTTCAAATCAAATCAAATAAAGTGTAAATCTGAAAAGGGACCCAACGTGGAAACCCCCGGACTGCTTTCATGGAACAGCGCCACACCGTGCAGCTGCGGCCTGGAGTTCAATATAGAGTGAAATTAATCACTAATTCATGGGTCGCGTTATAGAATATCTGAGTCTTTAGGTTTTTTACTCTCAGAGTAAGCAAAGATTTAAAGTGTATCCGTGGCTATAGATACCTTTTCACTCTTTAAATATAGTTTTACTAATGTTACGGTGATGTTCCCTTTAAGATTAATTACGCTGTAGTAAACAGCATTCTATTCACTATGTTATCTTTTCCATCCGCAGTAGCAGTTAATCCCGGGTTGGAAATAGTTAAAGGGACAGTAAGCGTAATTTCAAGGGACTCTCCTTTTAATGATAGCAATGCCCGATTTACAACCGTACCCACGAAACCTAATTTTTTTATAACAAATGTAGAAGATAACGTCGTTTTTCTGACACGAAAAGTGTTGATTTCTGTGCATTTTGTCATTGTTTCTTATAAGCAAGAATTGCGCAGGTCACTTATGCAGAGAATTTAAAGGTTCCGTTGTAAATCGGGCATTGGCATCCTTGCATGGAGGGTCACTTGAAGTTACGCTTACAGTCTCTTTAAACTTATTGTCGAAAGATTAACTAATTCATCAATGGTTCCAAAAGGTTTTATTGTCGCATTATAAAATTTAATAGTTTTATTTTCTCTGATTATTATTCTCTCTGTACGATCAGGTTCCTCAGTTTCTTCTAGAGGATTGGATAGAGAGAGAAGGAGACAAATGTAGAATAGTTATTACTCAGGTTACTACAGAAAACATTTCACCACAAAAAACCTTTTTCCTTGAAAGAAAACCGCGATATTAAGCGACCCCTCCATTCATTATTTCTTGATATAAAATACAGCAACAAAAACTGCAAAAAATCGCTGTGATTTGTTCTATTTCAGAAAACACAACGCAATCAGCATCAAAATTTCTCGCAAATAACTGCTTAGCACTGAGTACTGAACTTGCGTATCCAAGCTATCCCTGCTTAAACCCAATCCTTATCTGTTGTATTCTGATGGATTAATTTCAAAACTGTTGGATATATCTGAAGATCCGACCAATCAGAAACCCTGAAATTCTGCTCTCGACCAAGAAGAGATCGCAAAAATTTACGAGTTAGCCGTTTTTTCACAGATTATAAACTTAATCACTTAAGATGGTCAATCATTTAGAAGTTGTAAGTTCTCATACACAAGTTCCGACCCGCAACGGAGAACTAGTTATAATATAATTAAATCTGTTTAGCCCCGACGGATCTCCGCTATATCAGTAGCAGAACGGATAAGTCAGGAGCGCGGAGAGATTCTGGGCGGGAGTGTAGGATATCAGATCCGACTTGAATCCGTCCTACCCAGGAGAAATGGATCAATTCTTCTCTGCACAACAGGTCAAAAAAGCTGTGGTATATATTATTGTCTAAAATGCATCGCTTAAAGGGGAAAGTTGATTAAATGAGAGAGACAACTTGCTACCTGATGTTCAATTTTTTAATCTTTAAATAATTTAAAATACTTACATCTTGTAGTTTTATGTATTTGTTTAAATAAAGTCATATTTGTTTCGAGCATTTTAAGGAACAAGTGAAAATAATGCTTAAAGAAAAAATTAAAAGTAATCAAACCAAAAATTTATTTTATGAAGATTATATAGAAGGACTGAACAATAAAGTATTACTTCATGGTCAGGTTTTCAACAAAAAATCCCTTCCTTGTAGGTTTGAGAAAACAAATGAATTTTTGGGTAAAAAGGGGATAAACTAACTTCCTAGTTAAACTTGCGTTTTTTATTTCTTTTTTTCTACAAAGCTTTAAAAAAACACTTTGAAATTGGGGAAAATATTTATGTAAAATGTTCAGTGTTCATCTTAATAAAGTTCTAAGTTTTGCTCTATTCTCCAGGTATAGTTCTGCAGTGGTTACAGAGCTGCCCAACCCTGGATAATATTACTCATCTAGTCCTAGACGAGGTAAGACGAAGTTAATTGTAAAAGGGACTGTTCACGTTTTTTGAAATATAAGAAGGCTGTCAGCGGTTCAGAACAATACTCTTAAAATCTTGTCTGAGTAACGACGACGGAGAAATCTTGGAAAATCTATATAGAAAGGAAAAAAATTCCAAGTTTGATTTAAAACCAAAATTAATCTATTGTCGATTCTTTCAGAAAACTGGTCCCTGGTTTAGAATTTAATTCAGAATTATTTGCCTTTAAAAATGAAAAGTTATTTTATATTTTTTTTTCGAAATTAGAGATTTAAAACCAGATTAAGTCGATCTTAGCCTAGCGAAAACTTATAAACTTATATTAAGATTCATGAACGTGATATTCATTCTGATTTCCTGATGACCATCTGCCAAAACATCCTGCCCGTGAGGCCGGACCTCCGCCTTATCCTGATGTCGGCGACGATGGACTCGAACAAGTTCTCTAGATATTTCAATGGTTGTCCTAGCGTTCATATCCCCGGGTTCACTTACCCAGTACAGGAGTTCTATCTAGAGGATGTTCTGCAAATGACAAATTTTAGGTAAACATTTTAAAATCTTAATCGATTTATACCATGAATGTGACAGGATTCAATGAGAAGATTTTTGAATTTTTTAAAATCTTTAAATCGAAATTTCATTTGATTTGCTTTAAGGAGAGGGGGATGGGGAGAATGATCTTTCAAGAAAATATATTCCCCTGCAAAGGAATTCGTAGATGTTATCAATCGTTGAATCAATGAAAAATATAATTAGGAATTTAATCAAAAAGTTGTAATCTCTGTTTGGATAGCTGATCATACGTTATCAACCCCTTGACTGATTGGCCTCAAAAGTTGTTTGGGGAATTCGGTAGAACCTTGGCAATACGTTTTTTAGCATGGCTTAAAGATCTTCAAATATCTTCTCTAAACTGATACGGATGAAATCCAAGGAATCCAAGACATGTTCTAACTTTGTCATTTTCAGACCAAAGACAGGAGAGAAAACGTACTCAAGAAACCATAAATCAAGGTAAGCATATTTTTTTCTTTCTAATAATCTTTTTTTTTAAACATTACTGATCTACTACGATGCGGGATGTTGTTTAACTTAACTGACCCTTGGGATAATAAAGTAAATAAAACATACCTTTCTTAAACTTTAACTTTGTGAAACCACAGAGCACTCGCAGGCACAATAGAGCAGTTTAAATATCCCTTCCTACAGGAGCGGATCCAGCTTTTTGAAAAGGGGGGTCAAACTCACCATAAAACTGTGATGTGGGGCAAAAACTTGTGAGCAAGGAGGGCTGCCCCCGGAAATTTTTTTAAAGGATTAAGATTCGAGTATTTCAAGTGCTTAAAATAGCAACAAAAAATTAACAATTTATTATTTTAAATTTTTAATTTTTAATTTTATAAATTGGATACAGGTGAGAAAAATCCTGATTTGCTTCTTTTTTTTGTCATCGTTTCTATCTTCTTCCTTTTTTCTTTTCCTTCTGTTGACTGTCCTTGATTCTGATAATTTTAAAAAAAATGAAAAATTTCAAAACCAGTACTTTTTGGGACACTCGGCTTATAGTAATTATTTGAGTGTATTCTGTTTTCCAGTATTGCTGTATTTTCAGTTTTCTTGTTGCGCAATTGGGAATGTCTTACCTTGCAGTTGATTAGGCTGTTCAAGGTCAAGAGGAGGGCAAAGGGCAGGGTGGAATAGAAAGAGTTTTTGCAATTGTTGCTTTGAATTTCATTCTGTACTTTTTTGTGTCCAAATTCTAGTTCCGCCTAGTGGTCTTAAAGATGGATCCAACAACATTCGTCCACTAAGAAATCAATTCCAAATGTTGTTAGTGACAAATAGGAGTTGGAAATTTGGAGTAGTAGGAAGGGAAAGTATCGAGGGACTCTCCTACAGGAAGGAACCCTATTTTCTCCCAGATTTATACTCTTTCCGAGTACTGCGGCATTTTAGGATTACCCATTGGAGTTGCACCGCAATACAAAATATTACTAAAAATTATAATGTGGTTTAATGCAATTCTTAAATCATAATAATCTTAATTTTTAAGATATAAAAGAATCATATTCAGCATTGTTTACAACTTAAAATCTATCGGATTCATGAAAAGTTAAACTATCATGATTGACCATCTGAGGGAAAGCAACGCAAAAATAATATTTACACATTTTAAAAATTTAAAGATCCTTTTTTTCCCCGGAGAACAGGCTGATTTGATCAAATTTTAGTTTTGTCAAAGCACCTTAAAGTACCTGATGGAAAACAGATACAGTAAACTTTTAAGTTAGTTTCTAGAAAAGGGGGGGGGTCAAAAGATACTCTTAACTCTCTCTTTTTTCAAAAGGGGGTGGTCTTCGACACTTGACCCCCCTCCCCTGTATATGCATGCGCCTTCAGGCTACCTAGGTAATCTACTTCTTGTTATTCAGGTCCAAGTATATGGAGGAGATGGGACCGTTCCTTAGGCACATTGAGAGCTCAGGTAATAAAACTTGTACTCTCCAAAATTACTCCCCCACTGTCCTGGAATATATATGTTGTTCAGGAAAATAATCCCCAGTGTTCTGGAGTATATTTATATTGTTCAGGAAAATACTCCCCCAATATCCTAAGTAAGTATATATTTTTCTCATGAAAGAACTCTTTCGATGTCCTGGAGTATACATATTTTTCAGGAAAACACTCCCCAGTTTCCTTGAGTATATATATTATTCTTGAAAGTACTCCCCCAGTGTCCTGGATATAAATTTTTTATGAAAGTACTCCCCCAGTGTCCTGGATATAAATTGTCTATGAAAGTACTCCCCCAGTGTCCTGGATTATCTATACTGTACATGAAAGTACTCCCCGAGTGTCCTCGAGTATATATAATGTTCATTATAGTACTCCCACATTGTCCTTGAGTATATTAATTTTAAATGGAAGTACTCCCCGAGTGTCCTGGAGTATATTTATTGTTTGTGAAAGTACTCCCCAAGTGTCCTGGGATATATATATTGTTCATGAAAGTACTCCCCCTGTGTCATGGGGTACATATATTGTTCAGGAAAGTACTCCCCCAATGTCTTGGAATATATATATTGTTCATGATAGTACTCCCCCAGTGTCCTGGAGTATATATATTTGTGAAAGTACTCCCCCAGTGTCCTGCAGTATGTGTATTGTTCATGATAGTACTTCCCCAGTGTCCTGGAGTAAATATATTCTTCAGGAAAGTACTCCTCAGTGTTCTATAGTATGTATTTTGTTCATGATAGTACTCCTCCAGTGTCTTGGAGTATATATAGTGTTCAGGAAATTACTCCTCCTGTGTCCTTGAGTATATATATTATGATAGTACTTCTCCAGTGTCCTGGAGAATATATATTGTTCATGAAAGTACTCCCCCAGTGTTCTGGATAATGGATATTGTTTACTGTTCAGGAAAGTCCTATCCCGGTGTCCAGGAGTATATATATTGTTCATGAAAGTACTCCCCCAGTGTTCTGGAGAATGTATATTGTTCACTGTTCAGGCAAGTCCTCCCCAGTGTCCAGGACTATATATATTGTTCAGGAAAGTACTCTGTTAGTGTCCTGGAGTATATATATTGTTCAGGAAAGTACTCTGTTAGTGTCCTGGAGTACCTGAACAACCCTGAGTGTGAGGAGTTGAACATGGATCTCACTGCTAGCATAGTATCGCATATACACAATACAGAGGTGGAGTACTTTGTCAAACCAACCCCCTGGCCTTGTTTTCATTTCAAATTATTTAGTTTCATTGTTTTGGAAAATTATTTGATAGTAATTGGTTGAAGTAAGAAATAAAAATTGAGCAGCCGAATAAAAGGATTCGACATTTATCCCACAACGTTTTGTTTTGATTATGGTTTATGGTTTAGGATGAGGGGGCTATCCTTGTATTTGTTCCTGGTTTGGAGCAAATCTCTAAACTATACCGACTCCTGGAGCCAGGAGGGTTGCTAGCTCTCTCGGGTTCAAGTGTTATCTTTCCTCTCCACAGTCTGATGCCGACCGCCAGCCAGCGGGAGATATTTAAACCCCCAAGTCCAGGGACCAGGAAGGTGATTATAGCGACCAACATTGCTGAAACTTCAATCACAATCGAGGACGTGGTTTACGTCGTGGACTGCGGCAAGATCAAGATCAAGAATTTTGACGTGGACTCTAATACCTCAACCCTGCAGCCGGAGTGGATTAGTTTAGCGAACCTGAAGCAGAGAAGAGGTAGAGCTGGAAGGGTTCAGCCCGGTAAATGTTATCATCTATTTACTAAAGCTAGAGAAGGATTACTTGAATCGTATCTGCCCCCGGAGATCTGCAGAACCAGTCTGGAGGAGGTTATCCTGCAGATTAAACTCCTGGAGCTCGGAACCTGCTCCCAGTTCCTCCAGAAGGTTCTAGATCCTCCAAGTATCGAAGCAGTTCGTCTCTCCTTGAATACTTTGAGAACCATTAACGCTTTGGAGCTGAGGGGTGGGGGTGAGGAGTTGACTCCACTAGGGTTCCATCTAGCTCAGCTCCCCTTGGATCCTCAAACTGGGAAGATGATCCTGATGGGAGCAATATTCTCCTGTCTTGATCCCGTCCTATCCGTGGCAGCAAGCTTGAGCTTCAAGGATGCGTTCATGGTCCCCCTGGGGAAGGAGAAGGATGTCGATGGTATAAAACAACTCTTTGGTGAGAACATTTCAAATATTTTTCAACGCAGAAAAATACAACTTAGTTTGGTTTTACTAGTTTCACATTGTGTCATCATGCATTAGACTTTATATTTCTATGCATTCTGTATTTAGTAAAGGACTATCGTTGTTATTTCACATGATCCTCCATTTAAGGAGGTTAAGGAGGGGCATCTCCGATTCACAACGATACTCTCTTTGTCAGATTTATAATTTGAAAGATATCGTCGGTTTTTTAGCTTCCTTCATTTTTTCTCTGCAACAGATGTTCTCTTGTCACTTTATCAGAGAAATCTTAATTGAAAATTCCTAAGCCCCAAGTTTCCAGAGGAAATTCTTTGCCTATGCATTTTTCGGGATGTATAATATAAACGAATGAAATTGATGGATATCTCATTCATTTTTAATCAAACATACCTTTCATTTGTACCGCTGTGAATCTGGCATATCCTCTATAAATAACAACTGCAGCCCCTTTCAAAAAATTAACCAAATTAAAATTATGTAGCTTAGTCTACATTGTCTTGCCTGCAATACTGCATATCTTTACAGATACATTAAATAGAACTGAAGTTGTATCGATCTATTTATATAATAAGGATTTATTCTATACCTACAAACTATCGCTTTAAAAATAGTTTAAAACGTACCTAATTTATTAGAATTTTAAAAAGTGTGATAAAATTTTAATTATATGAAGCTGGTAGAACGATATCTGATCATATGATGCTGGCCAACGTGATCACGGAGTACACGCAGTCCAGGAGCAAGAGCAGCTTCTGCTGGGACAACTACATCTCGGAGTCCGTCATCAAGTAGGGTTTCTCAAGTATTTTTGTTATTTGTCTAATTTAAATTTTTCATGAAAAATAATCTTTCTCTTTTCTTTTACTTTTCCATATTTGTAGAATGCTGGTAGAGATGAAAGGTCAGCTGGCTAGACACCTGTTCAATAAGAAGTTCCTGAGCTCAGAGAATTACAAGTCCGAGGCTGCAAACCTCAACTCTAACAACGAGGCGCTGGTCAGAGCCATCATATGCTCAGGGCTCTATCCTAACGTGGCCAAGGTATTGAATCTAACAATTAAGTGATATTTTTATACTGAAGCACTCACATTATCAAAACTTTTCGTTAACGTATTTAGCTAAACGCAGTGTCCAAAATACATACTGGAAGTTGAGACACGTCATGTGAGTTAGTAATGCAGTCAAAACTTGAAAATTAGTTAATTCAAGCTTTGATTATATTTTAGCTTTCTTCATTTTACTTACATTTATCATAATTCATTTTATCAAACCAATCTTATAATGGTATCAGGTTTTTAGAGGCTAACAAATGAAACATAAGACATATTATGTAAACTAGCAAAAATTTGCGCCTAAAAAAACATCGGAAAACTACATAATTTTAGGTTGATAGGCCTCCTCATTTGAACTGACGTTTTTCAATTCCAGAGTTTCTTTAATGAAAATGTTGAATATTATAAAAAATACATTTTTATTCTTTTTATCTTTCTTTCATCTCAATTTAAGATCTCGTGACTGAACACAATTTTCTTATTATCTTCTCATCTTCGTTCTTTTATCAAGCTGTCATTGTTCAGAATCAGAACTCCATACTGTTGATTAATAAAAAAGTGCAGGATCATAAATTTATTTATTTTCTTTACATTAAAAAAGTTTATAATCTCTTAGCTGATCCCAAATTAAATTTTTTTTAACTAAAAAATAATTGATGGTAATTTTCTTTTTCTTCAGATAAAGCGCGTAAAGAAGCATGAGCATGAGGACACTATACTGTGTACTGCGCGCGAGAAACGAATCCTATTCCATCCCAAGTCAGTTGTCTCCAAGACGAAGAAGTTTCCTTACTCCTGGGTCGTCTTCCATACCAAACAAAAATCCAGTCAGGTTTGTTTGCAAAAAAGAGACGTTTAATTTTTCAACCCTCCTTTTGCCAGTGTCCTTTTTGCTATATACAATTACACAATACTCTATAGTTGCTATGCGACATTTTTATATGTTAAAAAGCTAGATATTGAAGACTAGTTCGATCTAATTCATTTTTTTCTTAAAGCAAAAACATCGTGGATACTCGTAGCAAAAGTAAAAGCGCAAGGTAAACGACATAAAGCAAAAATTTCGTTGTAGTTTTTTTTTTTTTTTATTTCAACGAAGTCACTTAAAGCCTAATTCTAGTGAGTTATTTTTTCAAACTTATTAGAAATTCTTAAATATGTGATCCCTCTTTTGAACCCTAAACCTTTGAACCCCCTTTACTTTCCGAAACCTTTTTAGATTTTCCCTTGTTATCTGCTTAAAGCTCTTAGCCTATAAAAAACCAAACATTTTTTTTCGCACCTCATCAAACCATAATATTTACAAACTCCCTCTTTAATTCTTTCTCAAATGATTTCGACTTCAAAATCAATTCTTTTATTTAAAAAAATTGTAATGAAAGTTTTAAATATATATACATAAAGTAGTAATCTCTGTTTGTTTGTTTGTTCAAACATAACTTAACCGATTTGCCTCAAATTTCGAAAGGGGAATTTTGTAAAACCTCGGGAATGTTCATAGCTAGGTTAATAGTTCTAGTTGTTTCCAGGCAAATATGGTTGTTTCTCAAGCTAGTCATATTACCATGGAAATTTTTAAAAAATAAAAATTATGCAATTGTAATTGTTTTTAATTAAAATATTTAGTCAACTATATATCTATCTATCTATCTATAATTGTAAAATCCGAAAGAGTATGAAGGTGAAACTATGATAAAGGAATTGAGGCTTTGCCACAAACACATATTTCTTATCCCTGTATCTTAGTCATCTAATGGTTTAAACCGGTTTCATTTCAATCTTCGATTATTTGGTTTATCAGAATTCATGGTTTGAAATATCTAAAGTCTGCGACATTGGGTTGCAAAGGCATAGGGATTTTAAATTCAGAGTTTGTGGAAACGTCTCTGTTCATTTTTTTTTGTCATTGAACTTAGCTACCAATATATTTGTCTAGACATATCTTCATGATGCAACCGTGGTTTCCCCGCTCTCTCTTCTATTCTTCGGTCAGGAGGTTCGAACTGGGTTGGAAACTCTCGAAAATTCGAGAGAAAGGTTCGTTTTATGTTTTTAAACTAGGCTGTTAGGGCGCTTATCTCCCATCTTCTATTTCAATTGTGAACACTTTCTTTTTGTTTACAGTGTAAAACAAATCAAAAATAAAGTTCATGGATTTTATAAAAAATAATCGTGGATTTTCATATTTAATGAAAAACGAATTTTGACGTAGGCTAACTTTTGAAATTTTGATCATTCACAAACCTGCCCTGGGGTCATATGAGGTCCCAAACAAAATTTGGGCCTGGTTGGTTTAGCTGTTTTGACGTTTATTGGATACAAACAGACAGACAAGCAAAGTATATGTTTAGATAAAGATAATTAGAAATTGTATCCTCTTAAAGTTTGAACGCTTATACGAAATTTTACTTAAATAGGAAATTTAAGCTTGAAGAACGATTGGTTATGCTTCTTTCAGGCTCGTATCTTAATTCTATCATAGTAAAATTTTGCATAGATTCGTCAAAAGCAAACTTGTAGAGAACAAAAATCTGAATTATGTTAAACTGAAAGGCAATGAACCTTGAAAGATTAAGAAATTAATGAAAAACTACGCTCAACTCTTAAGATTAAAGTTAAATATTTTTTTCTCGCCCCTGTTGGTTCAGAAACAGGTTTGTATACCTTGCAGTATTTCATTGTCTTGTTTAAATACTAAAGCTAGAATTACACTGAAGTGTTCAGCAGTATTGCACATATCATCATACTGACAGTGGCTAGAACATATAGATATATAGACAGACAGACATTTGAATTTGATGACGGCATTTATTCATTAAAGGGATTGTAAGCGTAATTTCAAGTGACCTTTTCCGATTCACAACAGTACCCTTCAAACCTTTAGCTGATAAAGGATGTCGGATTCCGACATATCCCTATTAATCTGCTGAAACGCTTTTAATTGTTTAACACTTGTTTTCAAACTGTTTTATTTTCAAGAAATAGCAATAATTACTTTTTAAAAGTTCAGAAAATTAAATTTTATTTTTTAATGTTTTTAAACGCTGTATACGTAAAATATTAGACCTATTTACAAGGTACGCAAGTAACAGATTAGCTGTTACAGAGTTTAGACTGTGCATGGAGGGTTACTTGAAATTACGCTTACAGTCCCTCTAATCTGACATACTAGAAACATACTAGAAACATACTAGAAACATACTAGAAACATACTAGAAACAAACTAGAAACATACTAGAAACATACTAGAAACATACTAGAAACATACTAGAAACATACTAGAAACATACTNCAGGCAGTTAGTATTAAAGCCCGGTTTTAGGCCTAAAGGGAGGGCTTTGGGTATGTAAGAAAAGTCAGAAAATTTCAACAGCCTCAGACCAATACTTTTTGAGTTATGTAAAACCCAGCGGGAAAAACTTTTATTCATCAACTATCAAATACTCAAGTCAAAAGCAAAGGATTTCAGTTAAAACCGGATTAATAATAGGACATCCTGTATGTACAATTAAACAATTTCAGAATAATATTATTTATGTATCATGCTGTTAATCGTTTTGGTTCGTTTTTTTAACAACTAAGAAAACTTCCAAGATTTCAAAACTGTCTTTAAAAGTTTGCTTTCATTAAAAGACCCAAACACGATCGTTATATCACGTCCGTTTTTAATCGTTTTTGGTTAATTTCTTGCCTTTATTGCCTTTCAGTGTTAAAATTTTACAAAGTGTATCTTTTTTATGATTTTTTTTACATGAACTGTTCATCACTGTATTTTATACTACTGTGTTGTTTCCCGAGTATGAAACTGAATAAAGAATAAAATGTTTTGTTTGATGAACTATTTTGACACCTGGAACACTTGTCAAAACAAAACTTCTTTTTCCTCTTAAAGTTTTCAAGAAATTCAACAACTTCAAAACTAAATGTTTTATAAAAAAAGAATAATTTTCCTGTTTTATTTTAGACTCGAGACAGTGAGTGCAGACTCCTTTATAACCTTTAACTGTGAGAGGAGTACAGCTTCTATAGTATCCAGAGCAAGGTCAGCTTTGGATTCCGTCATAGAGGAGAAGGTTTCCCATCCCAGCTCCACCTGCTGGCAGAGTAGTCAAGGAAGGATTCTTAACCTCATTGTCTCCTTACTAGACACAGAGCTGGAGGGATTACAGTTCGAGGAGGAGGAGGAGGAGCAGGGTTCAAACCAGAGAGGAGAACCTGGATACCAAAGATTTGAGAATAGTTTTGAGAGAGGAGAAGGGAAGGTTGGAAGGAATCTGAGAGGGAAAGACAGAACCAGGGGAGAGGGGGAGAGATTGAATAAAAACTGGAGTCCTTGGTGATCTAAGGCTGTGATTTAATACCTTCTGCAGGGACGTATACAGGAGGTATATGGCGACTAACCCCCCCCCCCTTTAAAACTATAGTTCTAGGGGGTTTTCAGTTGTCAACACGGGCTAAGCAGTAAGCTTTCCTTTGAAAATTAGTTGAATGAATTCAAACTCATGTTAAAGGATCATTCATGACAGATATATTAATACATTGTTTTGTTAGTTACGAAAATTTTTTTTCATTTTTTTTGATATCAAGTAAGCAAATTTTTTATGTATTGTTTATATTGTTGATTCATTATTTCAGAACTAAACTAAAAAATGAGAATTTATAATTTATGACAAGTGTTGGAACAGGTGTTCTCAAGATGCCACTAATCAGTAGAGTAGAGGTATGGAGTGTAAGGGGAGCCCTGAAGGTGGTTTGCTAAAGGATACCACTCCTTTGATCAGTATGGGAGCCCTGGAGGAGGAGAAGGTTGGGAAATCTGATTCTGGTTTACGTAACTTCAGAGCACTATGGTTTCTCTTCCTCTGGTATTTCTTCTCAGGTGAACAATATTTTTTAACATTTTAAGTTATTCAACTTCAGGGTTTACTGATTTTTTGCTACAACCCCTCCTTTTCATATTTAATTTTTAAGACATTTTTCAAAGCACCCTGTACATCTATCTATTATGACTTCCCAATAACACAAGTGTTACCATTGGAAATCAAGTACTCCCTTCCGGGGTGCATGGATCACAGAGTTAGCATCACATGTGCAATGATACTGTTATGCCCGAGTGGCAGTAGCCGAAGCCGTGAAGCCCCAACTACCGTGGCCTGTATCTTCATCCTGAGGTTTATTAGGAATTGAGTACAGTGTCTTTTTGTTTGTTTAAAAGATGTTTTTGTTTACCCCCAGTAATATTTAATGGATACCAATAAACAAAGTCGTATTTTATTTCATGTGTTTAAACATGTAGCATGTTGTTTTAAAGTTTTCTTAAAGGCACAGTCGACGTAAATTCATGTGATCCTTTTCCATGCCTGATTCACAATAGTACCATTTAAACTTTGGTCTCAGTAACAATAATATGTAACAATGAGGGAGACAGTCAAAAACTGAAGTTTAGAACTTCAGTACGTGTCACCATTTTTGTCCAACCCCGTATAGAAAAACGAATTAAAAATTTTGGTTCTAAAATAAGTTTTTAATCTGGACACCTGGCCGGCATATATTTCACAAATAAGTAGTCGGTGTACTGTTTATACCATTGAATTATCAGGTACTGAAAAATGTATTTTTTCACAATTTCAGTAATCGATGTATATTCTAACCACTGTACCTGTCATAATTATCTGAACAATCTCTTTAGTGTTTATTTCAAAATTTACCCTGCATTTATGTTTAGGATTAACCCTGTTTATGAACAAGTATGTGATGACCTACCTGGAGGGAGATTCAACCCTTCTCGCTGGTTTTCAAATGCTTCTCACCCTCATCTGCGGATACATACAGATGTTCTATCCTATTGGGTTCGGAGCTAAAACCAACCTGAAATCTAGTAAACCTCCAGGTTTCTATAAACACATGTGTGTGGTGGGAGGGTTGAGGTTTATCACTGTTCTCTTCGGATTAGTAGCACTCAACTATATAGCAGTTAGCTTCACAGAGACGGTTAAAAGTTCTGCTCCCGCATTTACAGTTATAATTTCAAGAATAATATTGGGTAAGTTTTTGTTTCGATAATATTCATTAAAAACAACAAATTTTCAATTTTTTTAATCAGTCATCATTTTTAACTAATAAATTCCAGAAAAGAATTGGTTAAAATCATAAATTAGTGTACAAGACACAAGTGACTTTCAGATTGACTTGAACTTATCGAACTGTGGCGGATTTTGATCAAACTAAAATAGCATTTTTAATTACAAAAATATTTGTCTAATTAATTTAGAAATGTCTTAGAGAATAGGACATCGAAATTTTTTACCATAAGGGTATCAAGGTTTTGGTCTACATGAAAATAATATTTTCATTAGCAAAAAATATTTTCTCTATCATCAAAATCAAGGATTTTATCTTTGTAAAAAAGAGTTACCTTTTATCTCCTTTAATTCACATTTCGTTTAGCGTTCAACAAATATTACTTTGCTTTTTATTTTCCATTTTTAGAATTCATCCCCTTTAATTTGATATTTGAAATTATCTTTATTTGAAAAAAAAAACTTTAGTGTTAAAAAAGCGTATTTAAGGGGGTCTATGTCTAAGTTTTCAGGGGGGGTTTGGGCCCCAACGGGTGTTGAGCCCCCCCCCCTCCCTTAAAAGAAAAAATGTACGCTCCCTCTTGACAAATTGCTGAAGCTCCTGTGATCACTGATCTCACTGATTTTTGTAATTTTAAAATATTTTGACTAATGCTAAATTCTTTTGTTTATAATATTTTAAACATTCAAGACCAAAAACCACGTGTTTCAGGATTTCCAAAATGTGGCTAGGCAAAATTAACGAGATATTAAGAATTTCGTGTAGATTTCAATATAATAAATAAAATTATAAAACCCACTGTTGACCGTATTTTTATGGTACATATGGGACCACATTCCTTATAGTTCCTGTTAAATACCGGAATAGTAAAATAATTAAGATTTGTTTAGCTTTGATTAAAATCTTGTTATTTCAGGTCAAACTACCGGTGTGTACGTGAAACTAAGTTTAATCCCTGTGATGGGAGGATTAGCTCTGTGCTCTGCTAATGAGCTGAGCTATAACCTGGCTGGGTTCTCTGCTGCTCTGCTCACCAATATCAGTGAGTGCTGTCAGAACGTATATTCTAAAATGTTAATCTCCGGAGATGCATTTAAACTAAACCCTGCGGAACTACAGTTCTTCACCAGTATTGCAAGTTTAGCTGTTACAATACCTACTGCAGTTCTAATGATGGACTGGAGCAAGGTGTTGCAGACGGATACAACCATGTTCCTCTGTCTCGTCATCAACGGGATATTCTTCCACTTCCAAACCATCTCCGCATACGTTCTCATGGACTACATTAGTCCTGTCACGCATAGTGTTGCCAATACCATGAAACGTGCAGTTCTAATCTGGAGTTCAGTAATCCTATTCGGGAACCCGGTCACAACCCTCTCCGCCCTGGGCACCCTCGTCGTTATCCTCGGGGTCCTTCTCTACAATATTGCTCTCCAGGCTGACGCAAAATACGCACATCGAGTTATTCATCTCGGGGGAAAGAAAATGTTTGTGGAAAAAATTTGAATGTTTAAAACCTGGAAAATTTGAATAGTTCGGAGAAATGAAGGAAACTATATATTACGGATCAAAACTAGCGAAATTATTACATCAGAGCTCGCGGATTATAATAATCCTTAAAGGGAATGTTCCCAAATTTTAAAGGAAACACGAACTTCTGCTTTAAAGTTCTTGTGGATCCAATATTTCTACAGCAAGTTTGCTTCATACCCGACTGGATTACATTCTGACTAGATCTATATACTAGCATACAAAGTATACATCCCCACTAAGCAATATAAAATCAGCTGACTTAAGCAGCATGGGTTGTTTCAGCCTTTACCCAAAGTTAGACTGTTCTGCAATACAACCGTTAACTCTGGAACTCTGTCCTATCATAATTAAAGTCTGATTTACAGGGGTGTACCCCTTCCTCCCTTTCTACTAATGGGATAATGTTATGATGAACGGGGAGTATATTACGTCAAAACGAATTTATTTAATGCAGCACAAAAAAAACTGTTTTCTGGGGAAACAGTTAGTTCCTTGTGAAAGGGAATGTAAGAAAAGTAGAAACCAAGTACTTGTACCTAATAAAACTGTTTCTGGGCATGGTTATTGCCGGGGCCGGGTTTTTATACGTTTAGGGTTTTTTGGTTTTCAGAGCGTTAAGAATAATCTCAATAAGTTCAATATAATTCCAAATTGTATTGTATGCCCTAAAAGTTTGATTTTACATTATCTTATATCTTCCATCAATGTCAACATTTTGCATGATTTCATGAGAAAACCTGCAGAAAGTATAATTTAAAATTGTAATGAATTTAGCAGATGTTTTGTCGAGCCACCTAAAAGTCAAAAATCATATGGGTCCAGATTAAATGAATAGGGAGATATGGTTGAACCGTGCAGACGTGGTTTAACCACTTATCTTAAGCTTGAAGCGATGAAGAGCAGTTCAGTTGCTTCTCCCTATTCATTAAACTTGGCCCAAGACCGAACAGAATAGCCAAAATAAATATAACTATCTTCAATAAATCAACTTATGTCAAGTATGTAAAGATGTATTATGTCTTTAACTCCGGATGTGATAAGATTATTATTTATTTTGATGTTAATAACACATTCCTTTACCATTTTTATACGCTTTATACAAGTTTTATAGTTTGGTTAGTACATAGCCATCTCCCCCCCCCCCGCTACTCCCCTTCTCTAAATAATGTTAACTGTTTTTAAATATTGTGATAACTATATATTGATTTTCGAATGGGATAATTGCTGGCAAAATTTGATTATTTTATTGCAAGAAAGATTAAATTTGATAAGAAAAAATGAACTTTTGAATTTGTTTACACTTTACAATATACATGTTTTGTTATAATTAAAATCTGTTTTAGAAAATAAATTTGCTTATCACTTTTATTTTTTTAACTTCCACTATATATCTATTTATGTCATTGTAATGGGTAACCACACCTCTCTTCGTTCGGTGTGAAAATACTTTCATTTTGATCTTAAGCGAACTAGAAAAAATAAAAATCCCGGCAAAAACTTTTTCGCACGTATGATACCCATATTAAAAACATATATAGTTTTATTCAGTTTTACTCAAATTATTTAAAAGCAGGTCGATAAAGTTACATAATCACCCTGTTGTAGGGTGATAAGATAAGATAGATAAGATAACGTTTGTTACGCGACCAAGGGTCTCGTATATAGAAGAGGATAGTTCACCCCTGAGTACTGTTCCCTCATACTGCTGCAGCGCCCCTGAGATTCGTACTGTGTATTCAAGACCGGCCTAAGAAGAAAGCCGGGCGAAACTAGTTTTTTATTTTGTGTTTATATTCTCAGTATTCATACCACGCGGGTTTTAGACCAGTTGGTCGTTTGATTTCATGGCATCATTTGCCAGTGTTTTTTGATCGTTTGTGATATTTTGTGGAGGCTCAACCTGGTATGATTTTCTTTTTTACGATACATTTATTAAAATTATTTAGAATATGTTAGAATCTACAGGTTTTTTATGCCCTATTGAGATAATTTTGTGCATTGATTATATTTATTCTTTGATTGTGTATTTTGTCTTGTTTTGAGGGCTTTTTCCTGTAGTAAAATATAAAAGAACTCAAGGTTATGTTTTTTAGTTGAATTTTCCTGCTGTTTCAATAAAATCCTGAGTTCGACCTTGATTATTCATCATGAAGAGAGCAGATGAGAGTTACGACAAACCAACGCAAAATACCACAAGGTTCTTTTTACATATATAGCGCGTAGTCGCGTAACATTCAACAGGGATTTCCTCAAAGGGGTCGTTTAACCTTTTCTTTGAGATATTCTAAAGTTTTTTTTTCCTCTTAAACCTCCTTGTATCTACCAGATTTATATTCGGAAAGATTACAAGGAGTAGTGAGGATTTGAGGCCTGAACTTTTTTTTTACTCCTTGACCCTTTTATGTCTGCCAGATCAATATCCGGAAAGATTATAAAAGGTGGCGGAGGTATCAATAAAGTTTATTGAGATTGAGATCATTATCTTTAGAGGGGTCGATAAGCCTTTTCTTTTGATAAATTGAGATTTGAGATTGAATTTTCTCCTTGATCTTTTTATGTTTGCCAGATTAACATCCGGAAAGATTATAAAAAGTAGCGGAGACACAAATAAATTCATTGAGATTTGAGGTCATTATCTTTAGAGGGGTCGGTCAACCTTTTCTTTTGATAAATTGAGATTTGAGATTGAATTTTCTTCTTGACCCTTTTATATCTGCCAGATTAACACCCGGAAAGATTATAAAAGGTAGCGGAGATACAAATAAATTTATTGAGATTTGAGGTCATTATCTTTAGAGGGGTCGGTCAACCTTTTCTTTTGATAAATTGAAATTTGAGATTGGATTTCTTCTTGATCCTTTTATATCTGCCAGACTAATAACCGGAAAGATTATAAAAGGTAGCGGAGGCATTAATAAAATTCATTGAGTTTTGGGGTCAATATCTTTAAGGGGGTCAGTCAGTCCTTGAATTGAGATTTGAATTGTCTTCTCCTTGATCTTTTTATGTCTGCCAGATTCATACTCGGAAAGATTATAAAAAGTAGCGGAGGACCAATTAAAAAGTTAAGATAGAAACCATTAAATTTGGAGGAGTTGCTCAACCCTTCTCTAGGTGGTACTAGAGATAAAGCTGAGATTTGGATCTATTTCTATCCTTGATCTTTTTATGTCTGCCAGATTTATTCCCGGAAAGATTATAAAAAGTAGCGGAAATAATAGTAGAACTCTCTTTGGGGTAGGATATTAAAATTGTGAATCGACCCGTGCGTGAGAATGGCAGGGGTACGCCGGAGAAGGTCTACATCATTAGGGGAAGGGGATCAGCTGAGTAGTACTCTAAATTTACCTGAATCACATCCAACGAGTAGATTCAACCCAGATAGATGCATGTCCACACCACAGATCAATACTACAGGTTTCATAGATGATAATTACTGGAGTAATAGGGGGGCACGTTTCGAACCCAGAGCTCGTACTAGATCCAGAGGGGGGTCCAATACCATTGATAAAAAATTGAGAGACAAATTTATCCAAATTAGAGAGGAGATACTTGAATGGGGCCAGATTTCTAGTAATTATGGGCAGTCTTTAGCTGCTATTAACGAGAAATATAAGGGATTTTACATTGAGATTGAGCGTAGGATTAATGAAGCTATGTTAGCCAGGGGGGATTTTAATTTGGTTGCTGAGTATGAGAGCTTGAGGGATAAATTGAATACAGTCCGCAGGGTTGCTAGACAGTTAACTGAAGCCCGAGCTCTTCCAGACCCGTACAACCTGGATCAGGAGATCAATACCTACTCCCGGCCACCATTGATGACAAGAAGTCTCAATCAAGATCATGTATTTCAAGATGATCCGATGTCATTGGGAAGATCAATCTCATCTACGCCACGTACAAGGAGAGAGGATGTTCTAAGTTCTAATCTAAATGATAATCTGATAGTGGCCCGTGGTCAAGAATTTGTGAGAATGAATTCTGAACCCGCCAGATCAAAGAGTCCCTGTAGCAATGTAAACTCAAGTGAGCAGGATCAAGGAATGATTGGAGCAACTAGAGACGGAGTAAGGAGGGAAGACATAGGAGTAGTGAGTGGATCAGGATCCATGGAGATGGGCCCTGATCCCGCTAGCCTACCGATACCTGCCAATCAGTCAGATGTGGGAGGTAATGATCCCGGAGCACCCAGGATCAGGAACCTTCATGCTGGATCAGAATCTTGGATGCAATCGATTACTTCCGTACAAATTGCCATGGAGGAGAGGTTGGAGGAAGTACTACAGATCATCCAGGGTCTCCAGGCTAGAGAACCTACGTTGAAAGGGATCCAAGAAGAATTAAAGTTGCTGAGGTCCAATGTTAATAGTATATCCCTGAGGATAGATAGAAGTGAGCAGGGACTAGACAGATTTGAAGGTGAACTTATCAGATTGGAAGCTACTGTAGAGCAGAATATGTTGAAGGTTCAGGATTGGTTTGTGGAGATTTCTACTAGAACGCCGAGTTCTGAGGTACCTGAGGAACTCATCAATACTTTAAGGGAGGTGATAAATAATAGTTCCCCTGGGATAGTAGTTGAGGGGATGAGAACGGAGATGGAAGAGATGAGAGACTCCTTGGATCAGAACCGGTACACTGCAGAAGGTTTAAGGACTGTAATA